GTGGCCGCTAATCCCATGCAACACCAACCCTCCTCACTCATCACAGGTGAGTGCCTTTCGGGGTGTGGTTTCCAGATCCCAAGACAAAAGGCTAAACATGGCCCTCAAACCCCACAGGGAGATATTCTTAATATGCTTTTTCATGTTTTCAACAACAGAGATAAAAATTTACAAAATAACAGTCTGATCTTTCAGCAGTGACACTTGGAGCTCTAAGACAGGTAAACAGAGACAAGCTGGAGCTGCTGAGCCCTTCCTGGTCCATGCTTCAAGTGCCACAATAAGGACGCTGGGCAAGAGAATGCCCCTTCTGCAATCTCAAGGGCCACTGGAAGAGTGGCTGTCCTTGCCTCGAGATCATGTAAGCTGTCCTCTAACTCCTTGCCCTCACAGGAGATCTTGTCACCACTGGATTCATCACTGGTTGATCTATTAGGACTTGCTGCTGAAGACTGATGGGGGCCCATTAAGGTATCCTTTTCAGAGCCTCAAGTCTCACTGGAGGTCTCAGGGGAGACATTCTCTGTAGACACAGAGGCCATGTATAGTGCTCTTCCTGAGTTTTCAGGCCATTATACTAAATCCTCAGTCTCTGTAGTGGGTGTTGACAGCCAACCTACACAGCCTGTACAAACAGAGCCCATTCAATGGGTTCCGAACTCTCTTCTTCACCCATAGCTTTCTGGTAATTCTAACATGTCCACACCCCTTTTAGGTAGGGACCTTCTCCAAAAGCTGAACTTCCCCTTTACCTTCTCCTTCCCTACAGCTGTCACCCTCCAGACATCATCACAATGCACCAAAAAGCCATTCCCTCTTCTTCTCTGGTGGATCCCATAGTTTAAAACATCTCCAACCCCATCAATGCTATCTATGCCTGTTTTAATTCATCTCAGGGATACCTCAGTTTTTCCTTATGTCCCCAATATCCTATAGCTCCCAAACATTTATGGGGACTAAAACCTAATCAAGCATCTTTTAGACAATGGTTTTTTTAAACCTACCCATTCACCCTACAATACTCCCATTTTCCGGATACTCAAGCCTATTAGGGTACTATTGTCTGGTACAAGACCTTGGGTAATCAATGATGCTGTCACCCCAATTCACTTAATAGTTCCAAACACTTGTACTATGTTCTTTCATATCCCTCTCTCCACCACTCACTTCATAGTCCTAGGCCATAAAGATGCCTTTTTTACCATCCTCCCTTCACCCTGAGTGTCAGGATTCCTTTGCATTTATGTAGACTGACCCAGACACTCTCAGGTCTCAACAACTTACATCTGTCATCTCTATATTAGAACCTCTCCTCAGAGACACACACCACCCCGTTCCTTTCCTACTCATCAATTTCACGGACACACCCATGGTCAGGACTAACAGGTAAATTTTACACACATACCCTGCCACAAAACTCTCAGATATCTTCTCTCCTTTGTACTTTTTCAAGATAGATAAAAGCCTTTCTCACAACCAGGGAGACTGTTGATATAGTTACTAAAGTCCCATTACAAAAAATCATCCCAAGGTTTGGTCTACCTCAGAGTATCCAGTCAGATAATTGTCCAGCCTTTATTTCTCAAATCTCTCAACAGGACTACAACTAAAATGGAGTGACCCCTACCTGGTCTTCCTGAGTTTCAATGGTGGTCAATGTTGCTGGACTGCCATCCTGGTTCCACATCACTCAAGCTAAGCAGTGCCCTCCTAACCCTAACTCCCCTGTCTCTAAATATCCTGAGTGGTCATCTCATCTCCTATCTCCCATCTCCATCTCACCAAGGCTCCACAGCCACAACTTTCAGGCTAGGTCATGTTCTGTTTTCTATTTGGTTCCTGATCCCTTACATTCTATTAGTTAATTTTTTCACTACAACTATCTTAGTTCTCTCAGCTGTTTAGCTAAACATGAGACTCCTGTAGGTCTAAGATCCCATGTCACTTTTAGTGACACAGCCATAGCCCTCCCCAACCCTACTCTATAATTTCCTAAACATGATTCGACTGTCAGGCCTTACATTTCTCATGCTTTTTATTCTTTCCAGCTCAACTCCTAGACCAAGGACAAGTCCTACCTACACTTTTAACTTTTACCCTGTAAATGGGGGAATCATTACCTCTCATAACTTCACCCTTCCCAACCCTATACTTATTTTTCAGATTCTACCTCGCCACGGCCCTGATGGAATGACACATTTGAATCAAAGACACCTTTCCTTCTAGGTCTCCTGTGGTCCTTTAAATACAATAGTGGTCTGCCTCCTCATAGCACTTTTGTCTTTTTATTTCTCCAGTCTAGGACGTGCAAGTTCACCAATGATAAAATTGTCCTGGCTGAAACACGTGGAATCAACTGTCATCCCGTGAAACTCCTAAACCCCAACATGATGTTCCTGCCCAGCAAGAAGTAGTAAGAGACAGTCCTTTTCCCAACAATACAAAGACGGGAATGATTCTTGATTCTTGCCCTGGTATAAATTCTTGCCCTGGTATAAATTACTGTACAGTTATGGCGGTGGTCTGAAGTGGCGGAAGGCCAAAGCGGAACGCCTACCACTTCCTGCTTCTTCAGCCCTAACTGCAACTCCCCTTCCTGTTTGCACACAGAGAATTCCAATCGGATCCTCACACATCATCAAATCTGCGACATGCGCCAGTGATCAGAGGTCACTATCCCTCTGCCTCTCTGTATCTAGTCAAAGGAGATTGCCCTCCACCTCGTCAATAAACCTGTTCATTTTATACTTTTTGCTTCTCTATTGTTCCAGAATACCCTAACAATTATCATGCTGTGTATCAGACAGCGGGACAGGAACCACAAGAAGCAGTGGGTTCTTAGTGAATAGGTAAATACTTTTCCAGCTAGGCGGGGATGGTTTAGGATGGAAAACAGCGAACAAGGTTAGAAGACATTTAATACATTCTGGAAATTCACCAAGAGTTGTGGTGCTGGATAGAGGTATAACAGAGCCCAGGCAGAAAGCACACGCTGCAGTGTGGCTGGGGCACTGGACTGGCGGGCTGCCCGTGTGGGAGGTGGTGGAGCAGACCCTCTGTTTTGCTGGGAACGGGGTCCTGTGTGGAGGCTCATGCGGAGGCAGAAGCATCTGGGTCAGAAATGTGGTCAGAGCACTCAGGAAAGGTCCTCTCACCAGCGGTGGTCGGCCAGGTTACAACAGTGCAGGCCTGTGGAGGGCTCAGCAGCCATGCTCGGGAAGAGGCACAGCTCACCTTTCCTTAGGGCCAGCTCGCTACCAGGATTACAGGCATGCACCACCATGCCCAGCAGGTTATTTCAAATCACAATTTCTCTCTTTGAAACTTATAGAGTCAATTCTAGTGTAATTTGTATTAATTCATTTAAAAGCTACCACTCACCAGTCAAGCTTTATTTCTGGCTGAAGCCACAACTGCAAAAACAATTTCCCACCAGGATGTGATCTAGACGTGTACTTACTAGTTACAGTTTAGACTAGTAATTTTGGTACAGTAGGCATGGTGAAAAGCACCCAGTGTGTCTCATCCAGTGTGTGAACCAAGGCTGAGGGATACAATTTGGGTGTTTGACTAGTAAGGAATGCCTCTTGAGCCAGTTAACTCAGAAATCTCGGGTTTTCTTCCTTCGCATCTATTTTGGTGGGGATTCCCACTATATATCCCACATTACCCACGTACGAATTCAATTGCATACAAATGTACAAACTTGTAAATAAAAAGCCATGGAAGTGTACATGGGATAGTTCTCCCCAAAGCTCAATGACAAATCTTGTTTTACTTTCTGTAAAATGATATAAGTCACAAAACAGTAATTGTAAAAGAACAAGGTGGGAACATCTACAGGTCTCTAACAGTGAGCAGTAACTTATCTGTGTGAAACCTTTAGGGGCTGAGGCTATAGCTCAGTGGTAGAGTGCTTGTCTAGCATGCATGACATTCTGGGTTTGATCCCTAGCATTAGGAAGAATACCTTTAGCACCTGGAAGACAATAGCCATGATTTAAAAATAAATGTTGCCTTTTAAATCTGGAGATAGGGGGGCTGGGGATTTAGCTCAGCGGTATAAGCACCTGCCTTGCAAGCAGGTGGTCATGAGTTCGATCCCCAGTACCGATAAAACAAACAAAAAAAAAAAGTAAAAAAAAAAAATCCAGAGATAGGTTTAAGCTGTTGAGAAGCTAAGCCATTTTCTACAATTCCTCTAGGTCAGTTAAGGACTCAAACAAGCCGCAACAAGGACTGGACTGCCTGCTTTGACTGTTATGTTTTTCTGCCCCAGATCTCCTTTTCTTTTTTTCTTCTGTCCACTCCATTAACTTAAACCAAAGGATTAGACTCAGTGATAACCATAAGGACTATATTCATCATATAAATTAGAATCATGACAAGAGGACTGACTATATGCGGAGCTTAGGCTGAGCTTGTAAGAACTACAGTCAACGTGACTTTAAAATGATGAATACATAGCCCAAGTCAAGAAAATATTTCTAAAAACTAGAAATTTGAAGGGATTACATTTGCTTTTGGCTGGTTTGTGGATCTGCTGATTTAATGTGTTTAGATGAAATCATAATGTGAAGGCGTGAAGAGCTAGTTGTTGACTATGCTGGTTTTATCTACTCCTACTCAGGGACCTTGAGAAATAGCTCGATGGTGCTTTAGGCCTTCCTATGAAAATGATCACAACAGCAGTTACTCAACAACAGGCCACAAGATGGCACAGCACCTCTGTGCCTGGTCCCCTGGCAACTTAGTAGGGGTAAAAAAAAAAAAAAAAAAATGAAAAAAAACCTCACTTGGTGTTAAGGTGTTGGAATTCCAGAATCCAAGGAATGTGGGAAAAATTGGCAAATGAATCTGTAGTCTGTGTAAAAGCAAAGGCATTATATTGGTTTTCTTCTGAACACTAACACTCTTATTTAGTCAACAGCAGTACCTATAAATACCACACCTCAAACATCAGACATAGTGGTAGTCAAATGGTGATCACACAAAGAAAATCTTGAACTAGAATTTATTTCTTAAAGTTATTTCAAAAATTAGAACTAATATATAATAAAACATTTATGATAACATTAGAGTTGTGTCAACATAAAAATATAGCTGTGGATATAGTCAGCACATGCAAATCACTGCAAAGGCAAAAATACATATAATACAGTCTTCCAAATGAAGTCAGGTGAGGTGGAGTAAAACAGCAAGTGAACAGGAGAGGATTGCACTTACGAGTGAGGCATAGCTGGGATACACAGATCTATCTAATGCTAATCTCTGCATGTCACGCTAGCAAACATATACTACATACACATTAATACTATATTTTCAAAAATTCACCTTTGTATCTGACTTTCACACCTCAGTATTAATGTAACAGCACTGAAATATGTAGTTACCAGACAAAGCTTATGTTCAAGGGATAAAATTATCATCATCGGCCTTAACTGTATTTTCATCATGATCCATCAACTATAATAATGGGATAATGAAATTAACCTGTTTGACGGAGTTACTGACTGAAAAAAGTCACTAGAGATATAGGAGTCAAGAACAGAGCTCGACCTGAGCTGCCACTTTTTATCTTTAATGCAATGTACAGTAGAGTATTATATGCATATACTGGTAGCATATGTGATAGAAAAAGACTAATTAAAAAGTACTACATTTGGTTTTAGAAAATTTTGATTTACACATGAACTGTTTATTAACAGTGAAAAGGAATGGCTGCCAAAAACTGAGCTGTATGTTTGCTAGATCTATCTTTAAAACCTGATAATGCCTAATTTGAAGCTAACTTTGAATACTGCACCATTTTATGGCTTCTAATTCTCAGCAAAGTAAAAATAATCTTTCTAAAAAGTAGTCTTAATTGGGTAACATAGTTTAAGTGCATACTGCAATAGAAAGCTATTTCAATAATTTTAAAACAATTTGAGTTTTTAGGTAAATTACTTTGATATTTTATTCATCTCACCAAAACTTCTGAAATAGAAATCTTGGTAATTCTACATAATTGTTATAGTTTTACATTTTATGTCATGGTTTTACCTATGGCAGGAAAAAAGACACCTGTAAACATTGTATTTGTCTGCCTTGTATTTATTCCTAGAACTATTTTTGATGCTTTATACTTATACTTTGATGCTTTATACAATGAGGTTTGATAAAAGATGTCTTTTAAGTACACATCAACTCCTTTCACTTTTAGCTTCACAATAAGAGCTAGCTACGGTTATTGGATGACTCCATGTGGTAAAATCCCTTATCAATAAGGCTGAAATTAATAGGTAGAAAACAGGTAGAAAATAGGTAGAAAACAGACACAAATACATGAGTTTGCATTTTTCTCCCTGCTTCTACTCAAATGTTGGATATGTTCCTAAGTACTGACTGATTCATGCTAAAACAAAAAGATTAAAAATTTAGATCTTAATAAAAGCAAGCACAAAGTTCTACAGTTTTCTAACAGTTATTCAGCATTATGTTTTCATGAAATAAGGTCAGTATACCAAAGACACCAGTAATTGATAATCAAGTAACAACAGTAACACATGCAACATACGTTGGATCTTCTGCTGCTCCCCAATTCTAATGGGGGAAACTGCATCAAAAGCAGTGAACTAGGTTTGGTCACAAAAAGCCTGTTTTCTAATGTGCTAGCACTATTTTAAACCACATTTTTTAGATACTAATAATTTAAAGAGTAATAAATGCACTAACTTTATTGACTAATTTTTATGTAAATCAGATTGATTTCTAAGCATACAAAATACAATGTACATGCATCAAAACACATTACTCTAAAACATGCTCTAAGAAAGTAACTGTAGTTAAAACAAGTTTTTTTTTTTTTTTTTTTTTTTTAGGGCAAAAATACACATATTAAGTGCTCAAATACGTAATTCCTAAGTGAATTTTTGCACCATAATCATATAACCATTTAATATAGCTAAAGTGCTCTAAGGCTGGGGGCACTGCTCACTGTCCCATATTCTCTAGGAGTTTCAACATGCAAATTCACTTACATGGGGTCATTTCCTCATTGAACAGTCTCATACTGTGAGTTCACATTTTAAAACTGCCCCCAAAACGTACACACATCACACTATACCATTCTTCTCAACACTATTTTTTATGAGGAAGGTTAAGCTAAACACCATTGCATCACTACTTGGAGAAAATAAAAATTTAACAGGTACAAGTTCCTGATGGACATATACATACACAGCAAGACAAATCCAGTCCTGATCTGGACTAGTCTTTCATGACCAATGTGGTCAGTGGCGATGCTTTAATCTTGTAGTGTGAGACTGGGGTTTTCTACCCCTACTTGACCTCTCTACTAGGCCTTAGTTTCCTCATCTAGTTCTAATCCTGTCATTTGACCAATCTAATGTTGGTTTTGCCGAAAGCAGGAAACAGGATCTATTAGAAAAAAGCATCTACCATCTCACAAAGATCATATATGTGAAAGAACTCAGGAAAGTATTAGGCACTATGTAAATGCAAGAAAGAATTCAAATGATAAACTATAACAGGAAGTCTAATCTGAACAATATTCTAAGCAAAAAGTAGAATATTTCAACTGCAAATGCATACCAATTTTTCTTAGCCTTTTTTCTTTAATAACCTAGAAGTACTTTTAAGTCTGCCTGTTTCTGAAACTCAAAATATATGAGAAAAATCTTTTTCCTCTGAATTCACTTGATGGTAGTAGTCAATCACTAATGATGTAGGACAATTTTTTTTATGCAACATCTTTCATCCATGTCATATGTCATAGGGGATAGCATAAATGTCTTAGTAATTTTAGTGCTAAAAAAGACTTCTGGGTCACCTCTCCCCTGAAGAAAACAAATGGAAGAACAGGTTTAAAATAACTGGCTGTGTTAGCACACACCTGTGGTCTCAGTGGATGGGCAGGGAGACTACTTGACCCCTGGAGTTCAAGGCAAGCTGAGGCAACAGAGTAAGAGCTTGTTTCAAAGAAAAACAAACCAAAAGCAAACCTACCCCAGGAAAAAACAATAAAAACAAACAAAACCCCTATCTCTTAATTAGGTGTAAGGATATTTGCTAGTTGTGATATTTGTATCTATATGTGTATTGTAAGAGTTCTTGCTTTTGTTTTGGTGAATACTGTCCTCTAAGATTGCTACAAATACCTAAGTAAAAAAAGAAAAAAATTAAACCTTGGCATTCTTAAAGTATATTCAATTAAAATACATTTTAGGCTGATGACATATTGGTATAAAGTGTTTTTCAACCAAATCTTCTGAATTCTGAACAAGGGTCAGTGATGTTTATATAAGAGAAATATTAAGACTTTAAAAAGGGCAATTTTTAGAATGCTTAGGATAGTTCATAGCGTCCACAGCTAGTTCCCAGCAGGGCACTGCTGAATTTGTGAGATGGAGCTTCAAAGTTATCAATAATGAAAAGTAAATTTTAAAAAATTAGTGAAATCTTAAAAATTACATATTAAAAAATGAATATAATCTGCCAAGTTAAAGCTCTGATTTGCTTTTCTCAGTAACAAGTGGCAGCATCATTACCAACAGAAGGAAATTGATGAATTTTTACTATAAATGAACCTGTCTTCACCATTTCTTTTTGTCAGATCTTAAAACCTAGCCTCAGGTAGTTAAGGTGTATAGGCTTCTTAAATTTTATGCGGGCAGCTGAAGTAGAGCATCCAGGCCTTGCTACTTTTATTTATTTATTTTTTTTTTGTCTTTTTCCTTTTTATCGGTACCAGGGATCGAACTCACAACTGCCTGCTTGCAAGGCAGGTGCTTATGCCGCTGAGCTAAATCCCCAGCCCTACTTTTATTTTTTTAAATTAACCATCCCTAACATACTTTTTGATAATTATTCTAATCAAAAAACAGTACAGCTGTGTTAAGTAGGGTATACCACTGCTCCTTATTTAAATAACTTCTGTTTTCTATGTAGGAAAACACAAGTTTTACTTTATAATTTCAGACAAGTTGATTTTCTTCAGTGCAAATGTCCGGAAAGAACACAAAATTATTCAGTATTCAGAGGATAAAGTCAGTTTCTGTAGTGCTTAAAGTGCAATCCCAGATATTCTGGAATGGAAATAGCCCAAATGAGATTTTACCTATAAGGGCAAATAATCATCTTCAGGGAGCGAAGATGATTTTTTTCTGAGATCACAGATAAAACATGTTTAGCTTCATAGGTACTGTTGAAGTAGAAGACTAGTCTTTTCACTGAGGCATATAACCACCTCGTCTCACAGTCTGTGGTAAGTAACTTTTAGGCATTCCTTCATCAAGTGCAGCCTCCATTCCAAGTGTTTCCAATTTCTCTGCCTGTGTCTCAGTCTCAAAGCCAAATGCATCTGTTGTAGAAACTCCCTGAAACATTTTCATTTGCTCGGCTCCATAGGACTGTGAAACAGGATCTGAAATCTGCTGCTGTTTAAGTCTCAGAAAATCTTCTTCATTGCTTGATGAAACTTGCTTTGAACTTTCAAAATGTGAAATATCTGGACTGCTTTTAGGTTGACTGCAGTTCTGTTTGAAGTACTGTTGCTGGGGCAAAAGGCCATCACCGCTGTCTACATTATCTACCAGCTGTAGATCTTCTGGCCGCTCTTCGGAATCTAACAAGGGCTGAGTGGACTCTGACCTAGAGAAAACTTGAACTGATGGAACCTGGTGCCTGTAGCCGCTGTGCACCACTGTAGAATACTGGACTGTGCTCGAAGTGTTTTGTGCAGACTCATTTTCATCACCGCTAGAAATGCTTGGCCTAGAAGATGACATGCAGGAAGACCCCCCAATGCCACTGCTATGTCCTTCAGTACTAACTTTTTCCTTCTTGAATAGGTCCAGGGATTTCAGATCTTCTGGAAAAGTCTTTTTGTCATTTGCTTCTATTTCCACAACACTTACATCAGTGAAATTGCCATCTGAATATATTTGATCTTTTGAATTAAAGTTGTGCTAGGGAAAAGAAAAAATGGATTATAAACTATGACATATGTTAATTTAGAAACTCTCAGAGTTAATTAATGCCTCTCTGAAACTTTTAGTGGTGTGGAAATGTCACTAAATCTTACTGTCAATTACCTGACTTGTATATAATGTGATGTAGAATGGGCTAAAGAATCTTTTGAAATCAGTCTGTAATTTCCAAATCAAATGCTGGTGTTACATTTTGAATAAACTAAGGATCTACAAATAGTTTTAAAGGTGGGCATGGTGGTGCACACCTGTAATCCCAGCACCTGGGAGGATAAATGAGGAAGATTGCCATGAGTTGGAGGCCACTCTGAGCTATGCAGGGACATCCTGTCTCCAATAAACACAAACAGTACTTACTATTTCATGCCTCTACTAGGCAGCATATGATTAACTGGCTAAAATACAAAGAAACATTAAGAAAAACCAAATTTGAATGACTGAAATTTTACAGAATTTGAAAATATGTAATACATTTTAAATTTAAAGATAAAATTTAAAGATAATTTGAGGATAATAAATGCAAGCAATTTCCCCCTTTGAGGCTTTAAGTTTAAGTGTTCAGTGTAAGTTTTCCAAAATCACTTTAATTGCTAAAATGGTAAACTGTTAAACCACATTTTAATCACCAACTCAATTCAAAATATTTGTATAGTAGTTACCATTAGATAGTAGTTTTACCACTTGAAAATTTCAGTTTGCAAACTGAAATAGTCATGATGTTTACTAAATAGAATTTGGAGTATCAGACAAATACACTATGATGATTGTCCCCACAATAGGTATTGTTTTTAATTTTGACTATAATTTTCACGTATGTATTATTTTGTTTTCAATTACTTTTTGATTCATCCTGAACCTTTTGGATGAACTCTGTAAATATACCCTGCAATGCCTGTACATTATAAACAACTCAGAAGCAGCTGACCTTACCCTTGGGGGCGTGTGAGGTGACCATTGGGCGATATGACTCTTTGAAGGGTCTGGAACATTAGGCCAGATGTGCTTTTTAATTCTGAAGTGAGAAAAAACATGGCACACGTAAACTGCATGTAATAAACAGTGAACAGTCCCCATTTCTAAACAGCTCATTTACGAATCTTAAAAACCAAACCAATTAACCAAAAGAACAAATACCTATTCTACCCAAAGCCAAACAAAAACTTTATCTTGTAAGCTGATGTGGTGGTGCACTCAGGTGGCTGAGACAGGAAGATCACTGCAAGTTTGAGGATAGACTGGGCTACACAGTGAGTTCAGGGTCAACATGAACCTGAACAGCAACGTGAACAGCAAGATCCTGTCTCAAAACAATAAAATCACCAAAAAAACCCTTCCTACTGAACCTCTAGAATAAAACAGGAGAAAATATTTCTGACACTGCATTGGGTACCAATATCTTGAACGGGATACAACATGCAGGAACTACAAGGGGAAAATACTGGTAAGTGGACTTCCAAGTTAAAACTTCTGCTTTTCTAAAATCACAGTTAAAACAACAAATTGACAATGCACGAATTAGGACAAAAATTTGCAAAATATAGTTGACAAAAATTCTGTAGCCAGAATACAGAACAGACTTAAAGCTCTCATAGTAATAAAACAAACAACTCAACTGGAAAATGGGCAAAAGATTTCAATAGACATAGCACAAAGAAAACATGTAAGTGACACATGAAAAGATCTAATTAGGGAAATGGAAACTCAAACTATAATGAGCTCTACACACTCACTTGTAGAAAAAAAATTACAAAAATGAAAAACTCTTAATATAATAGTATCAAGTATTGGTGATAATATGAAACACAGCCACTCAGGAAGTTTGGCAGTTTCTTATGAAGTTAAACATTCACTTACCACATGACCCAGCATTCCGAATCCTAGGTATTTATTCAGGATAAATGAAACATATGCCCATAAAAAGTTTTGTATGTGAATGTTCATAGCAACATATACATAACAGAGGAAATTAAAAAAACACCTAAAATTGATTAACTGATGAATACACTTTGACATACCCATTCTATAGAATACTATTAGTGATAAAAATTAGAATAAGCAGCTAATACAATGAATCTCAAAAATATTATGCTAAGTAAAAAATATACACAAAATACTACATGCTATTTGATTCCATATATATGAAATTCTAGATAAGACAAAAGTACAGTTACAGGAAGATTGTAACTACCTAGGGTTAAGTGTTAAAGAAGAGGATTGATGACAGAAAAAGCAACAAGGGAACTTTCTAAGTGAAAGAAATGGTCTATATTTTGATTATGGTGGCATACATTCACATATAAGTTTACAAAATTCAAACTGTAAACTTAAAATAAATTTTATTGGGTATAAATAACAGCTCTGTAAGTTACGAAAAATGCAAAAAGTATGAATATGAGTACTTACAGGTCTCGCTTATTAAAGCAGAACAATACACCTAGAAGAGTTGTCAACAGGAATGCTAAGCAAACAGGTACGACTATGGCTTCTATTTCTCCTTGAGCTAAAAGAAAGAGATTGTAATGAGAAATAACTGTTGGCATGGACACAGAGGAAAAATAAACAATACCATCTAATTTTATTTTTTTAGCCTTTTCAGACTTCAATTTTTCTCTTCTCTTCTTGATAAATCAGATCCCACTCTTTTATCCTTACATAGTAACCTGACATGTAATAAGCATAAAATATATCTGATCCTAACCTAGTTGCATTTAAAAAAGGACTTACTAATCAAGTGAATCATTAATTGGGATGACTAATGCTGCAGATACTTTTCTAGTTAACTCTTCCATTCATCCAACTTTTCTAGCACTTTTGATTCCAGAAGCTGAGGCAGTTTATCCAAAGCCCCTCGGGCAAGCTTTTGATTTGTTTTCTAAAGGACAAATGTATGAAATATTGCAGTCACGTATTTTTCATTGTAAGTAACTCTACATCCCAGAAAGCTCAGTAGAAATCAAGAATCAGAACAATGACTGAGAATATGAGTTAAATATTAACTCTTGAATGTTCAGGACTGCAAATAAGGATGCCAAATATAATTTAGGCAGAAGCTATCTTTTCTTGTTGTTGAACTTCTGCATTTATGTTTTTATGCACTGGGCCTTTATTTGTGCCACTCTGTATTTTTTCTTTCTCTATTTGTCTACATTCTAACTTTAAGGTTCTGACACACACCTTCCTCCATCTGTTTACTATGGAGACAGCCCAACTAGTTCTCCATTTGTCTTTTTACTTTTGCCTATATTCCTTCAACAAAGCTGTAAGATTCTTTAGGGTAAGACCCATTTCATGTGAAGAACCCAAAATGGAAGTCAGAGGTAAGCTTAAAAAAAATTATAAAATAATACTGTGTCCATTTTTCTCTTGCGTTCTCTCTTTTAAATCTTTCTCTTCCTTCTTTCTCATCCCCATCCTTGTTCCTCTTTATATTTGAATCTGTTCCTCCTAATTCCCAATGACTATCTTCTATTTTGTTCCTTATATAGTCTTTGAGTTTCTCACACAAGAGAAACAATATGACACTTAAACTTGTGTGTCTTATTTATTTCACTTAAAGTTATGGTTATGAGATGCAGCCATTTACCGAAATACAGCCTCAAATTTATCCATATTATATAGAGATGCAAATTCCATATGATGAATTTGATCATTTTGTATGGTAAACATGTACCAAGGAAAAAGATTAAAAAAAAACTAACCATGATCTGATTTTTGAAAAAATGTATACATAGAAAAAACCCAAAAATATTAGATTATTTTTGAGTAAGAGATTGGAACTGAGTTTTCTTCCTCCTTGCATTTGAAACTGTAAAATTTGCCTATATTTCAATTAGGGAAAATATTTTTAAAGTTTTATTATTTCTAACTTTTTATGTCAAGTACTACTGTCATACATTTATTCTAATACTATGTCAGCAGATGGGACAAATCTAAGCCCAGAGACCCTAACAGGCCTAATAGGGATGCTCAGTGCCTTTTATTATCTATTTAAATAATCACTCATCCACACATTTTTTCCTTTGGCAATCATTCACCAATAAAGAACATAGAGATTACTACCTATTGTTCTTATTATTTAGGGGCGAGAGTTACAAATACAGTCACAAGAAGATAAAGTAATTTCTATAATGATTGAAATAGCAGAACCAAGAAAAAACACATATAGGTCTTCTTTAAAGAGGTCACAGGAAAAGCAAGTCAGAGAAGGTGAGGACAACACCGGGCAACGCACTCAGGAAAGACAGGAAAAGGTAGAGAGAACGAGGGGCCTATAATTATGAAAGGGTGGGCATGCACAGTAATTATGTACAACCAATAGGACGTAATACTTGGGTTATGTGAAAAAAACAGATATGAAATTACTACAATCACATCTAAATATTTCTGGTTTTGGCAAAGAGTTGGATGGTTGTAGCAAGGAACAGAGAGTACAAATAGGCCAGAGAAACTGGGCTGGATAACACAGTGTGGGGGAATACAAACCCTGTAAAAGTTGAGCAGAAAAGGAAAATATGAGGATATTCCAGCAAAAGAGGAGGCTGAGGAAAATGCTACTAGAAAAACAAAGAAAAGGACAATATGCTAAAGATAACAACAACAACAACAACAAAAAAGTGAAAATGAAACAGCATGTGCTGGCTGTGATGACTAACGTCTTCTAAGAGTGATGTAGTTGGAAGCCTGATTTCATCCAGGTAAAGACGAGCAGGAGGTAGAGGTGGAAGTTCTGTGATGAACTAGTTTTTTGGGTAACCTGTCTATAAAAGAAGAAACAACAGGAGACAAGCAGGAAGGCAACTATACCCAACCTAGGGAAGATGAATCCTGTCAGATCATTCAGTCAAAATGGTAATAAAACAGCAAAAAGGTGAGAAAACATGCACCCAGATGAGCAATGCCTTAAACGTCACAATTTATGATCACTGTGTTTCTATGAATCCAATGGTGCACTGTTTTTTGGTTAAAAAAAAAAAAAAAATCCCTAGTGGTGGTGGGGATTGAGCCCAGTCTTGTGCATGCTAAGTCGTCTCTACCTCTGAGCCATACTCCTAACCCTTAAAGGTGCATTTTAAAAGGAGAATACTGAGTCCATTTCTAGTCTGATTAAATACAAAACAAGCAATAAAAGTCAAATTTTATTATTTCTTACCAAACTTCGGTGTAGTAAAAGTGAATTCTGGACCATCCTTTCCACCCTCATCTGTGTATGCGGTCATTCGTACCATGTACAATGTGTCACTAGTCAAAGAGGACAATGTATATTCTGTGTGGGAAGAATCTACATTCACAGCTGGAAGAAACGAAAAACACCTTGTGCTTTATTCAATGTTTTTGTTTCATCTGTCCTGTATCTGGCATGGTGCAAGTATTAAAAAGGAATCAAACATTTTTCTTGGAAAACAACCTTTACAACTCAGACATAATATTTTTCTGTAAGCACAGCACAGTACTTCTTTAGTACAGCCATTTACAAAACTATAAGAAATATTTACAGCTGTGTGCTGAGAATAAAACACACTATAATGAGATTTATAACATACTAAGATGAGAATTAAGTACTTAAAAACTTTAAGAAAAAACTGATTAATAACTGCTGATTTTATTACCAGTTTCATTTCCAATGATGGTTCTATAAAATATGGTATAATTTCTGATAAATCCATTTTGAACATCAACAGGAAGCTGATCCCACTCTAGGACAGCTTCATTTTTCCCCACTTTTTTTGTCCGAACAGTAGGTCCTTTGGAAGGGGCTGCAACAGAATAAACATATTTTCTAACTGAAAAGCAGCACGATTTAGTAATTTCCTTAGAACAAAATCATTTGAACATGAAATGCATTCTTATTTCAAAGTCATAAAATACTTTTAATGCCAAACTACATTCTTGAAAGAAAAAAATGCTTGGACTTACGAGCCTGTTTAAGGTATGCCTTGGTAGATTCGGGGCTTCCTGGTCCATCACCATATACTGGAGTAACTGTTATCAAGTAACATTTGCTTTCCATTAGCTTCCCTAAAGCACAAATAATAGAACAGAATAAGCATTTTTTTCTTGTTGAAAAATTAAACTAATTCCATTATTTACATTTATTGTACAATTTGATGATGTTATCTTTTAAAACTGCAGTTTTCTAAGTTAGTATTGCCTTTTGTGTACTGGACTAAAACTTAACAGTGAAACTTTATAAAAGCAAATGTTATTTCACTAATATAGTAGGTAAAAATACTTATATTGTTAATACAAGAAGTGACTGCATCTATATTCAGGATTTACACACAAAACAAGATCTCAAATTATTCTGGTTTTATTTAGAACTTGACAACTCTTATTAATATCTAACTCTCTGAGAGCTCTGTGAGCAAAATGCCATTAGTAACATGCAGGGAAATGCACCAATGGCCCTGGCTTGTCAAAACTGGAACAAAAGACGAATTAGTACTGTTTCCCCCACAGCCAAAGAAAATTATCTTACCTGCAGTAATTCTTTTATTAACATCTTCCAAATTATCAAAATCAACTATTCTTTCAGCATGCAAACAGTAACATTTTCTTCCTTTTATAAAACACACTTTCTGTCCATCTCAGAAAAGCTGCTTCTTACTACTTTATTATTTCAACAGAACCTCTATTTCCTTAACTATATGTGCCTCTGCCTTCTTAGAACAGTAATTCTACTACTTCATTTCTTATTAGGAAATGAACAATTTTCGACTGTAGCTGTAGCGCTTGTTTTCACAGGCACTGCCGCAGCCTCAGTGCCTCATCTAGCTGATGCTGTCTGGCTCCTGTCAGCCTGGCTCCTCCCTGGCTCCTTCGTGGTTTTATGTGACAAGGCTGAGAAACTAGACAACCAAAGCATATTAAAACTGTACGTTAAGTAATATCTTATTAAAAGCCAAACAGCCTATTTTATGAATAAAGCTCAGAACTTTATGGCAGGTATCTCTCTGCTTAGGGCTCTTCTCTAAATAATCATGTAATTTACAGCTGAGTTCTAGTGGTGGTTCTTTACTAAAAAGAAAAAGCATATATATGCTAAATGTTTTTCTTCTTTCTTTAAAGCTCTGGAATTATTAAGTAGACATGTAAGTAGCTGACTGCATAGAATTACCCATTTTTTACAATATCACTACTTCCTATCTTTTGTCTATTCTTGCAAATTGGGTTCAGCTTTCTCTGCTCAGTGGTGGCAAAAAGCCGAACAAGTCATCTAGATGCTCTAGGGAACTATCTTCATTTGAAGGATGAGAGGGTCAAGGTACAGGGAATATACACAATCAATCAATAGCAAAGTGAATTCTTTTTATGTTTCTTCACTGTCTTCCAAGTGTTCCTCTGGTGATAGAACTATATTGGGGTCTTAAAGACAAAACTAACTCTACCCTGTCCATAAAGAGACAATGCAGTTCAGAAAGGATAGAGTGACTTGCTGAGAATCACATATCTAGAATTAGTGGGGTTATAATAAATTAGTTCTTTTGACCACAATGCCTACAAACCAGAAAAGAATTAGCAAAAAAAAAAAATCTGTCTAAATTGGGTTAGAAAATGAGTATTTGGGGCTGGGGATTTAGCTCAGTGGCAGAAGCGCCTGCTTCCAGGAGCACGGTTGTGAGTTCCATCCCTGGTACTGGGAAAAAAAAGGAAATGAGTATCAATTTAAGTGCATTTGGCAGGTTTACCTCTTAAATAGGTGCGATGGATGGTACCACTTTCTTGCTGCCAGTCTGGAACACAGGGTGATTTATCCGACAACACACACCACTCAAGTATGTATTTCCTTACAGCTTTATTTGGAGGAGTCCATTCCACCCAGAGCACGTTATCTTTGGGATACGCTTTGAGGTCCGTTACAGGGTGAGTAGCTTTAAAACAAGATGCCAACATAGTACTTTTATTTATTTATTTTTTTTTATACTGGGGATGAAACCTGGGGCCTTCACTCTGAGTTATATTCCCAGCTCCTACTCCCAGCCCCAGCTTTCTAAAATTTTATTTTGAAACTGCTAGATTTAATAAGCAAATTCAGTAACCTAGCTCAATATAAAGTCAACACTCAAAAATCAATAGCCTTCCTGTATACAAATAACAAAAACACTGACAGAGAAATTAGGGGAAACAACATCTTTCACAATAGCATTCCAAAAAATGAAATACCTAGGAATGAATCTAACGAAGGATGTAATAGAACTACATTGAAAACCATACTACTCTGAAAAAGGAGATTGAAGAAGATATTAGAAAATGGAAAGATTTCCCCTGCTCTTGGGTAGGAAGAAACAATATAGTGAAAATGGCCATACTTCCCAATCTGTTAACAGATTTAATGCAATTCCAATCAAAACTCCAATAGTATATCATATCAAAGTACAGAAAACAACCCTAAATGCATTTGAAACCAGAAGAGACCTAGACTGGCAAAGGCAATTCTGGGCAACAAAGGCAAAGCAGAGGGCATCGCAATCCCTGACTTGAAATTATATTACAAAGGCACTGTAATAAAAACGGTGTGGTGCTGGAAACAGACCCAAAGATCAATGGAACAAACTGGAAGATACACAAACAACTCCAGACATACTCAGCCACCTTATCTTTGAAAAAAGTATCAAACATCCACTGGAAGAAAGCCTCTTTAATAAATGTTGGTGGAAAAACTGGTTCTGCACAGGCCAAAGGTTAAAAATGAGCCCATATCTTTCACCATACACTCACTAAACTAAATTTGAAAAGGATCAAAGATCTAAATATTAAAACAGAAACATTAAATTTTCTGGAAGACAGAATAAACTCTTGAAGATATTGGTGTATGCAGACTTTATGAATAAAACTCCAACTGTATAAGAACTATTGTAAAGAATCAACAACTGAGCTCTCATCTATTAAAAAGCTTTTCACAGCAAGACAAATCACCAACAGAATGAAAAGACAACTCAAGATATGGGAAAAAAATGTTTGCCAGTTGTTCATCAGACAAAGGATTACTTCTGAGAACATATAAAGAACTAAAAAAAATAAGACTTCCCAAATTTAGAGGTCCAATCCAAAAATGGGCACGTGACATGAATACATGCTTCTCAGATGAAGAAATACAAACAGCAAATAAATACATGAAAAAAATGTTCAACATCCCTGGTCACTAAAGAGATACAAATTAAAAACAACACTGAGATTCTACCTCACCCCAGAAAGAATGGCTATCATCAAGAAATCAACCGGTAACAAATGCTGGCAGGGCTGTGGGGAAATAGGAACCCTTCTCCACCCTTGGTTGATATAACCATTATGGAAATCAGTGTGGCGATTCCTCAAAAAACTGGGACTAGAGGTCCCATTTGACCCAGCTGTTACCCTTGTGGGTGTTTTCCCAGGAGAATTAAAACAGCATACCACAACAATATATGTGCACCCAAGTTTACTGCAGCACAATTTGTAATAGCTGAATCCTAGAAACAACCAAATACCCATCAACCAAGGAATAGATATATAAAAATGTCTTTTTATACAATGGAGTACTACTCAGTGATCAAAAGGATAAACTGGAGACTTTTATAGGTAAATGGATGCAACTCAGGACCATACACATAAGTGAGATAAATCAAATGCACTTGTGTAAACATTGTTATCGTCTCCCTAGTGAGAAGCTAAAAAAGTAGTAAGATCCAAAATATACAATAGATACTATAAAATTGGAAGAAACTTCCAAAAGGAAAGAGAAACTAGTATGGGGGAAATGGAGAAAAAAAAAGGAAAAGCAAAATAAAAAATGTATTTATGTATAAAGATAAGATAGTTATACTTCTAGTTTCTTTTAGTTCATTGAAAAGGTTTGCACTAGTATTTAGACAATTAAATGTTGATATCTTACACTCTGAGTAATTAAAGATAACAATACACAATGTATTAACCATTAGTTATCCTATTGTTTTGAAATTTTGTTTCTTTTTTTTCTTTAAAAAATTTTATTTAGAGATAGGAGCTCTCACTAAGCTGCTAAATGGCTCAAGCTGGACAAAATTTGCCATACTCCTGTTTCTGCCCTCCAGAGTGCTGGGATTATAGATGTTTGACATACAGGTAACTTAGAAAAGTACTTTACAAATTACATGTATGGTAGTCAATTTAATTTTAAAATTAAATTTTTGCTTTCTCCAAATTCTTCACAAGTTTTCATTTTAGAACTATTTTGTCCTCTTTGAAAGCTACAAATACAAAGCTCAAATATATTTGAATCACATGCATATAAAGTTCTCAAAACTTTGAAACATTTAAAAAACCAGATAACTACTCAGAAAGTGCTTGAATGAATTAAGTAGCTTACTGTAAAGTTTAAGGGAGCCACCCAGGGATAAAAGTATTTGCATATTTAATGAAAACTGCCTGCTGATTTCTAAAAATATCATCATCACTGATACTGAAGATTAGCCTAGACTATTTGTATTTTTAATGGTATTCTTGTCCACATCTCATCATCTTTATTCTTTGGCCATGAATCAGGATCACCTCAAAGACACATACCTTGAAAGTCACAGGCAGGGATAGTTAAAATAGATGTATCTGATTTGTCAACCAGATTTCTTGCTGCTAGTGTTGCTATATAGCGATCATTTGTGAGATTTACTGTGAAGTTTGTGTCACTAACTGTGTAATTTTGTGAACATGATTTCCATCTTGTTAGAGTCACTTCATAATCCAAGATTTTCCCATTGGCTTCGGAAGGAGGCAGGGCCTGAAATAAAAGTTTAAAGTTTTTTATAAATCTTGAGTAAGTTTTGCCATCATGTTAAACCCCTAAATATTTGGCAGGGCCTGAAATAAAAGTTTAAAGTTTTTTATAAACCTTGAGTAAGTTTTGCCATCATGTTAAACCCCTAAATATTTAAGTGCAAGAGACTGGCAAACTCAGTGCTAAAGTAATACAGTATTCCCTAAAGGAAGAGGAAAGGTATGACCACAGATAAATGAGGGTAAGGAGCACCACTGCCACCTTGTGGTTCTGCACTTATAACTATGTTTGCCTATGCTGTTTGTTTATGAGTACTATTCTCCCTATTTTTCTTAGTACGATCTACTCATGTACAAGTATGATTTATCAGCACACATTTTGATTACTCCAAACCTCTATCAATTATTTTCTATGAAATGCATTGGTAAATTCAGTACAGTACAGCACAGGGCTCTTCATCATACAGAATTTATGTTCCTGTGGAACTGTGCTGAAAGACTTAGGAGATTATCTACAGATTATGACCCTGACCTTTATCCTAAAGATTTGTGTTTCCATTTATTAAATATGGTTGTCAACTGCTTGGCTGATTTATCATGAATAAAAATCTAAGTGTTAAAAACCCGTACTCATATATACCATTTAAATATATTTATGTAAAAGAATGTAAATCTGTGATTTTTTCACCTTCCATATGAGCTGTGCAGATCTAGAGTCTTGAGTATGGGAGAGTATCTTATACCAGAAACTTGGTGCTTTCGATGGTCCTAAAAAAAGCACAAACTTGTTCTTAACAATACAGTAACACCCTGTAAATTATTCTCTTATTTTTTTCATCATAGGGAATTTGTACCTGTACATAACTTTTTCCCATTCCCCCACCTTCCCTTCAACCCTTCTTTCTCGCCTTATTTAGGAAAGCTGTTTCCATTTTTCTCTTTTCCTTTCCATCCTTTCCCCCTCCCTAGTTCCCCTTTCCATTTGAACAGTTTTTTCTTTTTTTCTTTTTTTTTTTTTTTTTTTAATTTTTATTTAAGGAGAAAAGAAAAGAAAAAAAAACAGTGAAGGGTACAAGTTATACAGATTTACAGAAGAAAAAAAATGCGCAGTAGGAAATCACTAGTTAATAGATTACATATTGCCATCTTAGAAATAATTGTTCAAGTCACAGAATTAAAGTTTGTAGAGTGGACCTTCCAGCAATGATACTGCAAACAGTTCTGTTCAATGATCCATTAGAACTCTGTGATATCATTTTCTGTCTTATACATTTAAATATACATGCAGTTATATAGTTTAGAGCATTTTCTTTTCCTCTCTTTTGTACAGTGACTATTACACATTTTGGGTTTCATTGCTCCCACTGTTCTTATTGCTTTTTTGGAAGAGAGTAAAACCAAATGTGACATGACAGAACAGAATCGGTCAAGTCAAAAGGGTGGATATAATAGATAATATAAAAACATAATACAAGGTGATCAACAATGGTTACCCTAATGCCTCCCGCTATTTCTAATAGAATTGCCTATATCGTTAGTTGTAATACTATTGAACAAAACCGTAAAGGATAAAACCGACAAAACCAAAACATTGGAGATATTGTAGGTCTTCAAAAGTAGATAGAAGTCAACGAGAATGGGCGTTATAATGAATCTCATTATCTTCTCAGCTGATGCCTAAACTTTCGAACCTGATACTATTCAGCAAAACAGAATAGAGGAACCTCAGTCAAAAACAAGATGGTGAGAGTAATACAGGGCTTCAAATCGAGAAAATAGAAAGTCAAAGTGGGTTACTATATTATATCCTGCTATATTTTTCCCTTTAATTAAATGGATAACAATAAAAAAGTATATAATGGAGTGGAGATTGAGAAAAAGAAAAAGAGGGCATAACAGCGAAACAGGGCAGATCAAAACATAACCTTTTAAGCAGAATAGTGTTTCACCACCAGATATTTCCGACTTAAAAATAGTTACCATATTGACTCCCTCCCTGAAGTCCTTGAGTACAACTTCATATACTGTAGCATTAAGTATATCAAAACAATGTAAAACCATTTAAGAGAATGACAGCATTATAGAGTATTTGGAATTGACTAACAGAAAATGAACAATGGTCTCTGTATAATCTCCTTGTCTTTAAAAGGTTTTTGCTTATACTAACGTACATAACAAAATCCAATAAGATACAACCTGGTTAGACCATTGGAGACAGAAGAACAAAAGCTAGATGAGACTTCAAAACAAGATGGTACTGAATCAGCATTACCTATTAAGATGTCATTTTCTCAAAAATAGCTGTTCCTATCATCCAATCTTCTCTGTCTCATTTCTGTTGAGCTCTTTTTCTGTCAGTAGCTGTCAGTTTGTCTTCTTCATTTTGTTCTCTGCTCCATTCGTTGTGGCCTCCCTGCCACTATTTCTGGGTTCTTTGTATTTTTCTTTTTTTAGAATATCCTGCAATACTTTCTGTAGAGTTGAATTGGTGGTTGCAAATTCCCCCAGTTCCTCTTTATCCTGGAAGCACCTCGTTTTTCCATCAATTTCCAGGGACAGTTGTGCAGGATATCTCAATCTTGGCTGGAGATTATTATCTTTCAAAGCTTGAATTATTTCCCCCCATGCTCTTCGTGATTTGATGGTTTGTGAAGAGAAATCTGCTGTAATTCTGATGGGTGTTCCTTTGTAAGTGATCTGTTTCTTGTCTCTTACAGCTTTTAATATTCTGTTCTTGTATTGAATTTCTGGGATTTTTATTATTATATGCCTGGGTGTTTCTCTGTTAGGGTTGTAGGTAGCTGGGGTCCTGTATGCCTCATACAGCTGAGTATCTTTACCTTTTGCTAAATTAGGAAAATTCTCCTGGATTATTTCTGTGAGTAGCTTTTGTAATTCATTTGTTTGTGTCCCTACTTCTTCTTCTATGTTCTTAATCCTTAAGTGGTGGCTCCTCTTATCATCTTCTTGTCTTTGTATTATTGCTGTTTGTTTCTTTGTTATTTTTAAGAAGTTTTTCATTTCATTCTCCCATATTTCAAGTCTGCCCTCCAGTTCAGATAGTCTGTCCTTAGTTTCTTTCAAGCTGTTATGCCAGTCTTGTATAGACTTATTAGTTTCTTGATAGTCCCTTTGAACCTGCTTCACATACTCAATGCTTTCTCTGTTTTCTCCATCAAGCAATTCTCCCCTCTTTTTCTGTTCTTCCATTCCACCATCTGTTTTTTCCTGGGTGGTGTTTAGCATTTCTCTAACTATTCTGCATACTTCTAGCTTCAGATCATTGATAACTTCATTCCTGAATTGGTCTATGAGGCTCTCAATATGGTGCTTAATGTATACTGGTGCGGCGTCCATTATTGCCTGTTTCTCAGGATTGGGGGCCGAGGAGCTTTTTTTGTTGCTTCCCTTCCCCATATTTTTTGTTCCTTATAAAATGCAATCTTACAAAGGAGGCCCGGCTTCCCTGCCTGTCAGCCACAGCCTGATCAAATTGCGCTGGCTAGTTGTTCCCGCCCACCGCTGCGCACCAGGGAGTCGGAGGAGGCAGCCTACGCGGAAGTCAGTCGCTCCTCCGGGCCATCGTCCGGCTCTGGGATCTGGGTTAAGCTAGTCTAGCCTAGAGAGTCCGCCAGCAGCGTCACTCAGGCCAGGCACTTTTCTCCAATCCCGTCCGAGAGGGGAATGGCGCCCAGAGAGATCTCCGCTAGAGTCAAACTGTGGTGGGGGGTCAGATTCTCACTCACCTCGCCACCAGTCAGTTTTCGTGTACACCTCTGTCCGTCCTTTTTTTTTTCGACTCCGTTCTCCCGTTCCCAGAGCTCGGCGCTCCCAGAGCTCGGCGCGTCTCTCCTTGCTGAGCCGCTGTGGAGATAGCCGGCCGCCGCACGGCGGGAAATCCAAACCGGTTTCCGATGGCGCGGAGTCGAGCCTCCACACCGAGATTTTTCTGTTCCTATTTTAGCGCCAGGACTGTATTCCAAGTTGGATTCTCTCAGCCCAGTTCGTTCCTGAGTCAGCAGAGCATATCTCTACTGATTCGTGTCTCCCTAGTCCGCATTATTTCTGGCCTCTGAGCCGAACCTTTCAGAGAGCCTCTGGTAGTTGCTGTTGTCTGTCCGCCATGTTCTCTGGTCTCCGAACAGTTTTTTCTTATTTCATAATATCTACTGTACATTTTGTTCCTTATTTATACTCTCAGTTTCTCACACCAGAGAAACGATGTGATATTTATACATGTGTCTAATTTATTTCACTGGAGAGTGTGGTCTCAAGGCCCATTCATTTAGCTAAAAAGTCTCAAGCTTATACTTCTTCATGACATACTTCTTTTATGACTCCATCGTATAAAAAAACCACATTTTCCTCTTCTATTTTTTTATTTTGAAGGTAGTAAAACACAACAGAACAAGACAGAATAAAGCCAATCAATACAATGCAGTGAAATTGCTATAGAACTTCACAGCAGGATACTGGGATAACAACAGGTATGAAGGTATGTCTCATTATCTTCATAGTACTTGTCCATTCAATCAGCTATAGCAAAATCAAACCCAAAACAGAACATTATAAAACCTATCAAAATAGGATGTTGAATAGAGCAAAATAATCACAACAAAGCAGAATAATGAAAACAATATTTGCCTTCAAACAGAAGACAGAAGGAAATCCCCAATATTTGCTACATTGCATATGGTCATCCTCCCAAGAGATGCTCAGAACTCTGCCCCCAGTTGCTAACAGGGTTGGGGGTGGGAGATGGAATGGGATGTTTGATTCTCAACCGGCACCCTGGTAGGCTCACGGGAGATGCTGACTGGTTCTCTTCCTGGCTTGCCTGCCACTCACTCACACCATGGCCGCTTACTAGGAAGGGAGACGTGTTGCTTTCTTGCTCAGCGCCCTAACTTCCAACATGGCTGGATCTCAGAAGACGCTGACTGGTTCTCTTCCTGGCTTGCCCGCTTCTTGCGTGCTGCTCCTGGCTTGCACTACGGCCACTTACCAGGAAGGAGGGTGGGTTGCTTTCTTGCTCAGCACCCTAAATTCCAACCCACATCTTCTTATTCATTCATCAGCTGATGGGCATTTGGGCTATTTCCAAGATTTAGCTATTACAAACTGTGACACTATAAATATGGGTGTGCATTTATCACTATGGTATGTTGTTTTATCTAAATCTTTATGGCAGCATTTTCCTATCTCAAGAAAATATACCTGGGTCTTCTTTCAGTAAGGATCATAGCAGCTTAATGATGTAAGTTACAATAGTTTTATTTTATTACTATTATTTTTTGAAATACTTTGGAGATGTAGTCTCACTACACACTTCAGATTGGCCTTGAACTCACCAGCCCAGGTTGGCCTCAAATTTATGGTAATCTTTTTACCTCAGCATCCGATGAATTTTTACTTCATAGTTTTGGACCATGGGTAACGAATCACAAAGCGAAACTGCTGACGAGGAGTCAGTCATTCAGTAACACTGGGTAACCTTCCACCACTCGCTGCAGGCTTTACTCCAGTTGTTCATGTTGCATGCTTACTTCTATTTGGTTTACCTGATATAAGTTCTGGACTAAGATACTTTTTTAGCAAGATGTCTGCTTTTCAATTTTTATTTGCACTACATTGTGGGGAACCAGAATATGTACGTGACAAATCTCAATTCTTCTCTCTCCCATCCAGCTTTTTCATTTTTTTATGCCAGCACCAGATTCATTTATTTATGACCATATCAAATTAATTATAAATACAAATTAACAGCCAGATTAACAGGCAAAAATAACCATATAAAGCACATATGACAGTTATAATAAATCAAGGTACACTTTTAGATGTTTGTCAAGCTGGATTACAATAACTTTTTTCTGTTCTTTTATTTTTCATTTTATATATACATTGGTTTCTCATATACTTCCAGGCATGTATAAGGGATAGAAAATTCTTAGGAGAGAAGGATATTTTTCTTCCTTTGGCATTCTCAATTTGTAATGGCCTAACCCTCTGGTAGAGCTGGAGTGAAGGGATAATGGGTGGCAGAAGAGGCTTTTGAGCTAAGGCTATTGCCATTGAGTATTACAGGTGGGACTGAGACTAGGAAAAGGTTCAAAAGTTAGCATCCGTATGCCACAGGATTCTTTCTGAGGACGTAATGCATTAGTATGGTTATGAAAGTAGAAGGGCCACTACTGGACAAGATAAGAGGGATCATGGGGCGGGGTGGCGGGCAGGGTGACACAAGGGTAGATATGACCAAAATGTTAATACACATATAGGACAAAGTGCCACAATAAAACCCATCTTCATAAAATTAATATAAACTAATAAAATACACAAAAATAAAATTTGAAAGAAAAAATCTAGTAACAAATGCTTTGTGGAAAGAATCTTACTTTAGATTATGTACCCTTTTGTGTCTATTCTATTCTATTCATGTTATATTATCTATGGGAGAAAAAGAAAATTAACCAACTAACCAAATCCAAGATTATTTCTTTATCAGAGACTTTATCAAGTGCTGCTGGAAAAAATGAATAAAAGTTGTAACACAAATACCTTAAGGAGTTAAAGTATATTTTGTTAATTAGTGTGACTTTAATTATTCAAGTCATGAATCTCTGGGCCATTCTTGAATAAAATGTTTACCTTACCAAAAGTTAATTCCACTTTTTTGGATGGCATCCAAGACACGCTTCCATGATTATTTAATTAGAAAGCAAATATATTTATACTATCAGTAATGCATTTGATTATCAAAGAAGCAACAAGGTCCATATGATTAAAACCAGGCACACTCACAGCCAGAATTCCACTCCTTCCCAGCTCTGTAGCTTATTCACTTACTGGCTTCGTATGTGATCCCACTTGCGTCTCTGCTCCAGTCACTCCAGAAGCCCTTGCCATCTGCCTTCATACAGCGAATCCTAAACACATACTCTGTGAAAGGTTTGAGGTCCTGGACGGTGAATGAAGTTCGGGTTGTTGCTGTATCTTCAGGAGGAATCTAAAAATAAAGCAAACATGCAACAACAACAAAAAATCCCAATTAAATAAGAACTTCTAAATTGTATAATTTTATAAGCTAATTTAATGGAACAAGATTAATAAACTAAATCTCTGGAAAGAAATAAATTCAAGTCAAAGTGCAGTCAAGATGAGTAAAATTAATAGGTTTGAGAGTTAATTTTAGGATGGCTTAGTAAAATGACTACAGGCAACAGTGTAGGACTCCTCAATATAGTCAGGGCTCTAGGACCCAAAGCTGTTACCACCTTGAGGTCTAAGAGGAAGAAAGCTGGTAGCAGAACTTTAAAGAGTTCAAGAGGGCTACCTTGTTAGGCAGAAACTTAGGATGTAAGACTCAGCCAGGTCCAGGAAAGCAGCAGTGAAATAAACATGCTGCTATCACTTCTCTTCCATCCCTCTTCTCTCCTGCTGCTGTCCCTCCTCTCATTAACTTAGGGGAAATTAGATATAATAGGAACTCACAAATGAATCCATAAGGGTCAGTGTGACATTACAAACAGTAGTGTGGGGAAGGACAGTGTAGATCTGAACAGGCAACAGGAAGCATGTGTCTACCCATCAAGAAAACTAACAGCTACCTGTGTAAATTTACCTTTCAGAAACAACGACAGCAACAAAAACAAACCAGAGATTAAACTCTAATTCTACTACTCTAAGATTTCAATCTGGATGCAAAACAGATATGAGGTGTTTTGTACCACTGAATTAAACTCTATATTATTAAAATCTTGAATTTTAGACATATATCTTTTCTGTACTACACAAGTCATTAATTGAATGGTTACCTTTTTTGATTATACTGAGTCCTTTAGAAAGTGGGATGGGGAACTCAGAAGTAGAAGGTCAAAGGCTCAATTTCTATTATTGCAACAGAGCAATAAATAAGTAAACAAACATAAACAACATACTGTTAGTGTTATGGTTGATACACTGTGTCAACTTGAAATGTTTAGAAGTTTAACTAAGAGACTCAGCAGAGAGCCAGTATCCTTACTTTGTGAATATTCTTACTTTGAAAATTTCTATGCATGAAGAGGGCATAGAGATTTTGTGAGTCCTATGTCTGCCCTGAAGGGGAGAGGGTGACCTGCATATAATATAAGAGAGAAAAAGAGGTTTGTTCTCCCTGCTTTAATATAATGTGACCTGCATATAATGTAAGAGGAAAAGAGGTTTGTTCTGGCTGCTGCCTTGAAGTGTGGTCCTTATGTTATGCCACCCTGCCTTGGAGCCAGCTGATCACAGACTGAAACCTCCACAGTGAGCTAAATAAAACTTTCCTTCTTCCTTTTGGGTGTCCAATACTTTGTGCCAGCAACGAGAGAAAAGTAAACAAGACAGTTAGTAATCACTGTATTCGTAACAAGGAATAGCATAAGTATGTTCAGAGCAATGGTGATAACTTCTTAAAAAGTTCCAAGGTATTTCTTTTGCTTATAGTACTGTGCTTGGGTATGTCACTCCTTTCCTTTTCAGTCTTACAAATTCCCCACCAATCCCTTACCTCAAAAGTTATCATACTTTTTATAAAAGGCTAGATAGTAAGTATTTCAGATATGGGCCAAACAGTCTCTGTTGCAATTATTCACTGTCTCATAGCACAAAAATAGACAACATGTAAACAAATGAGTGTGGCTATGTTTCAATAAAACTTTATTTAAAATAACAACTAGGCTGCATTTGGCTTGCCCTACCTTTATCTGTATGGTCTCTATTTTTGTACCTCTACTTAATTTGCTTTTTTTATTCTTTGTATTGCTTTCATCTCTTCATCAAGAATCATTTTCCTTGTCACCCTGCACCACTTCTGTGTTTCCCTGTAGTTGCTATATACATAGTATTTTATATCTGAATGTCTTCTGGTTTGCCCTTAGTTGAAATAAAGATTCAGAACAGGTATCAATAGGTTTTATATAGCCAGGAATTTAAGACCTTTAAAAAATGACTGAGGCCTTTAGGTTAGAACATCAACACAGATTTTTTGATTAAACAGTAACTTCTAATTTACCTGGCTCCAAGTTGAAGCATCTTTGGTCTTATAATGAATGTCATATTTCAGTCTCATAACATTCATAATACTTGGATTGATCCATGTTAGTTTTAAGATACTGGATAGCTCCTCTGAGTTGCTCACTGATAAATTACGAGGTGGATTGGGCTTCACTGAAAAATAAAATAAATCATAATTTTGATCATCTTTCACTTCTATAGCTTTATAAACAAAGTTACATATATATGCCTTTTATTTTTTTCATTTTACAGTACTGCAGTCATTTATTCTTACCAAATCAACTAATTTCTTTAGAAATGATGCTATGTTATTACAATGGAAAGGCTGCCCCCCCCCCAAAAAAAAAAACAACCTTAGTTTTCCTGAGTTTCCATGCACCACCATGCCTGGTAATAAATTAAATTTTTAAAAAGAGAATAAAAATGGAACAAGTATAATATGATTGCAGTGGAATAAAATGTTTGAGAATTGGACAGATACCAGAAGGTAACATTCAGAGTGAAAACAGCTGACAGTGTGGTTACATTACAGCTATTTTTCTTTATCCAAATTATATTTAATATTGTTGATTAAATGACAAGAATCATTAAGCTAATTAAATCCTTTTTCTACATTAACTAAAATCTGAAAAGCATTTATAAACCACTGTAATAAACTCTTAAATTCAGGATAATAAATACCTTTATCTACAGGATCAAAGTTGATATGATCTGAAGAAACCTTCCCAAGGGCATTTTGTGCTTCTACCCAGACTTCAATGTTGACAAAATACACAGGAGAATAGTCAACAAGGCATGAGGTGGGGGTGTCAGGTTTTGCTTTACAATCATCAAACTTCTCTGTTGCCCTAAATACAAAAATGGAAAAATTTGTTAAAACTAGATTTGAAAAAGGTGTGAATGAAAAGTAACTTGAAAAGAATTTGATGAGACTCAAGCTTGTTGTAACAAAGTTTGTAGTAAATTGATCACTAAAAACAGTATTTCTTAAAATTAACCTTTGCTTAAAATTGAGTTTGAGCTGTATCTAAAAATTATTTTCATGTTTTGAATCTAAAAATACCGTACTTCAGAATTTCATGCTCTAGCCCACGGATCTATTTCTTTGTCATCCTACTACAGTACTCCCAATTTATCCACAGAGAACTGTTCCAAGATCCCCAGGGAATGCCTGACACCTCATCTGGTATGAAACTTTCCATACGTTTTTCCTACATGTATACCTATGATAAAATTTAATGCATATGTTAGGTACAGTATGAGATCAGCAATAATAAAAATGGAACAATTCTAATAAAATGCTGTAATAAAAGTTATATGAATGTGGTCTTTCTCGAAATTTTTTTTGTTCTATAGTCATCTTTTTGCTTGGCAGGATGTGAGATGATACAGTGTCTATGTAAGGAGATGAATGAGGTCAGTGACACAGGCACAGTGAGACTGTTCTGATGTCACCGAGATCTTCCAAAGACTACATGAGAAGGAGGACCATCTGTTTCAGGTGAACACAGAGCATCACGCCAGGATAACGTCTGGAGAGATGATAGTCATGGAAGGAGACCTCTGACAGTTGCTTTTTTGGGAAGAATATTTTAATCAGAAGTTGTCCTTTCTGTTTTACTCACCAAAGTGTTGCTAAAGAGGTTGTAATTCTTAGGTGATCATACGGGAATATACTCCCCCAGAAGAGTATGTAATATTTTTGTTAATAATTTTGTTAATGACTGCAATTCAAAACACTGGAAAATTTCTGCAAGGTCCACATTGCTGGATCTGTTTCAGTTTCTTCCTCTTTATCTTCTTTCTCTATAGAGGACTCAATGAGTTCTACCAATTACTCATTTGTTAATATTTCTCAACATCCTTTAGGACATTGTTCTACTTCCTCTTCACGCATGCTGGCAAACCTTGCACCAAACTATCTTGCATGAATGATTTTCCAACTTCCCTGGGAAACTAACAGCATTCAGTTTCACTCTATAAATTCTTCCAGCAGGCATTTACAGTTTCTTGTTTTCAATTCATCCACTGCAGTTTTGATGAACATTATATATTGCATTAGTAATAGTGAATGACTTCCAACACTGAATTATGTATAAATTAATCTGTATCAATTACTAATTAGATGCAATCAAATACCAGATGGGCATTTGTGGACTTGACAAACCAAAGGATTCTCTGGTCTACGACTAACGCAATGAAATTATGTTTGTAGACAAAAATACCACCTTACTTTCATTTTTGTAACAGATTCAAAACAGCCAGATGCACTGCTTATATTAATATGATTCTGAATTCCAACCTTTCCTCTTCTAAGAATTTTTGTTGTTGTTGTTTTTACTTCTGGGACAAAGAATTGAGGCAAACATTCTATAAATAATAACTGTCACAAACATTTTCTGATTATGCTGCCAGAAAGAAGGCAGGTAATTTTTGTTTTTGATGAAAACATATAGGTTCATCATTTTTCTACTACACTTAGGCTTTATCATATTCCCTGAAGGGTGATCACACTGTACAGAGTTAATCTGTCCTTCTATGTTTACCCTGTGGCTCCTTTGTACCTTTAATGAATGTAGGCTCCAATGGGGATCTTCTTCCAGATAGTATCGCTTCTCCTTGGTCAACTTCAATGCTGCTAGAAATGAGGCAGCTTCTTCATAGGTAGATGCAGCCCAATGTAATCCTGAATCTGCACAAGCATCCCTTACTAGTGAATGACCTGGGGTCACTTGCTTAAGTTTCCTTATGGAGTAACATGTTGCCATCGATCAGAATATGTTTTTTTGTTCATGTGATCCATGCACAAACTTAATTCCTTTTTGATCTTAACTGAGCTTTCATTACTGTGGCTGTAACTTTTGTGGTCTGAGATGTGAAAGCAAAAGTAGCACAAATTTCTTTAACAATTTTATAGGTAAAAAATTTGTTCCTTACTGCAGATTGTCACAGCCCCAAAAGTATTTTGTTTTCTTTCCTTATCAGAAAACTTTAAATCTTTTCACTTAAAGGAAACATTGTAGAGCTTCTTTTGACATATTCAAATTGTCAGCATCACTACTTCCAAACAGCAGCAACCAAGTGACTGAGAGGCAGGCAGTGTACACAGCACGGATATGCTAGACAATGGGGTGAGTCAAATGGTGGGCAGAAAGGAGGGGAACAGTCTGAGATTACATCAAGTTACTCAGAACTGTATACAATTTAAAACTCAGAAGTTATTTCTGGAATTTTTTATTCAATATCTGAAACCACAGCCAAAAGGGAACTACTATACTGTTTTTCTCCTTTCCTGAAATAGACTCCCTACTGTACCATTACACTCACTGCAATGTCCTTCTTTAAAACCCTTCATGTACAAGGTTAAGCATCCTGACAAAGGAGCTTGAGGTGGGTGAAGCTGAACCTTATGTAACAGTGCAATATGCTTGCTTTGAGCACAACATACTAGTAGAGGAGAGCAGATCAAGCCAGAAAATTTCAGACTCTTTTTAGTCCAACTCAGGCAACCACTTTGTGATTGCTATCACCATACATCGTTTCAAGTAATATTACTCTATTTATTCACAGGCATATACATTATGCTTCAATTAAAACATTTGCATACAGATGTTTTCAAAACTAAAGCCAAAAAAAAGGTAACATCCAGAAAAGGGAAGGAAGGGATAATTTACTATTTTAGATAATTACTAAGAATTTTTAAAAAGCAAAACCAAAGTAAAACGTGAATTTATGTACTGAGTTTGTGGTTCAACCACTCAAAGGAAGTATTTCAAGTAACACTCATCTTTTGCAGAGAACAATTCTAAAACTGTTTTTAAGAACCACATTGCTGGTACTAATAATGGCATTGTTATTCTGAAGTTGTGTTTATTAAGGGATATAGTAAATGAAAAATTAGCTGGTGATGTTGGGAATGAGGGTTTTCAGTGCAGAGGAAAGGAGATGTAGCTGTTGTATGAAAGTTAGTAAAAAACATGTGGGCCTGTTTTTAAACCAAAAATACCAGTATGAGTTCATGATGTATTTTAATTTAATTCACAAATATTTCCTAGCTCTTTCCACTGAAAAAGCCCAGAAACAAGGACAATCTAGTAATGATGAGTTGTTTTGGCACCCAGATCTCTAAAATGTGTTTCAACTGACAAAAACCAGAGATCCTTGAGAAATGGTTAATCCCAGGTTTGGGTGAGAAATGTACAGTAAGGAGACAGATGAACCTGGAAAATGACGTCACACAGAAATCTAGTAAGCTGGAAGCTTCAAGTTTGAGGCCAGGCTGGACTACATAAGCAAGTTCAAGGCCAGCATGCTCTACATAGTGAGATCCTATATTTAAAAAAAAAAAAAAAAAAAAAAAAAAAAAGAAAGAAAAAAAAAGCCCAAAGAAATCAATTGTGTCAAAAGGACGCATGATCCAATTTCCCACTAATCAAATATGATACAGTATAAGCAATGGTAAAAATAATAACCAAAACATACTGAAACACATCAACTGTTTAAATATGAATTCATAATGAAGAAGGTAATCCTTCATCATCTTCCTCTTTAGCTGACAAAGAACATTATAAAACTGGTAAGTCCAGTGCAGAGGCACATGGATATAATCTCAGAACTCAGGCCGACTGAAGCAGGAGGACTACAAGTTCAAGGCCAGCCTAAACAAGTTGGGGTCATAACGGCAAACCTTGAGAGCTTTCAATGATAACAAACAGCTGGCTGCTGCACATGTGCTGTAAGTTAGCCACCACTGATTTAGGGAAACCTTGTCTAAAAAATAAAGAAAGGGCTGGATATGGCACAGTGTGATGCTCTTTGGTTCAATCCTTAGTACCACAAACAAAACAAACAAAACAAGTGGTAGTAAAAGGGAAAGATTACACTCATTTCGCCTTTCCTATCTGAACTGTTCCTAAGGGTAATCCACTACTGATGAAGAAAAGTTTTTAAGTATTTTGGCTTTAGACAAACAAACAAACAAACCAACCCCATAATTTTGTAACTCATAAATGATCACTAATGACTGCTTCCCCTTCTGGGGAAAAACTACTGCTAAGCAATATGGTTCAACTGTACTAAGTTGTAACAAGTTCATAAAAGAGTATATGCTGTATAATCACATTTCTATGGCATTCTATAAGAGTGATGGCGATCTTTCAGTGACCAAGTGCCAAACTATAACCCAAAATCCACTTATTTATCAAAAAGTACCAATGCTATGATTAAATTTGAATACTGAGGTTTTAGTTTAGGAAAAAGAGCTCTATAGTAACAGCTTTGGTTGTAAAAGAAAAACATGTAACACATGTGCCATAGGTTTGCCCCAATTCTTCTATAATAAGCAAAAAATAATCTATGAAGAAAATCAGAGATGTAGCTGCCTGTATCGGTTGACAGAGTGCTAGTCTGAGTAAAGGAGTGCAAGAGAACCTTCTAGAGGCATTAGTAATGTTCGCTGTGTTAGGGTTGAGATACGGCTATACACACTTGACAACCTTGCTCAATAATATACTGAAGCACAATCTTTTCACCGTATGTAAATTTACCTAAAAAGAAACTAAACATTGAATTTGATTTACCCATCCAAATACTGAAGTGCTAAAAGATAAAAAATATACTAGTATCTATAACTCGAAATGCATTTAAAAGAGAAATACGGAGAAGGATGCATAGAAAAGTGATAAAGTAAATACAATGAAATGTTAACTGTAGAATCTAGGAGATGCAGATGTATGAGCACTCACTGTAAAATTCTTTCAACATTTTTAGGTTTGAAAAAGTACTAAATTGGGTACAGTAATGCATGCCTATAATTCCAACTCCTCAGAAGGCTGAGGCAGAAGGATGACAAGTTTGGCTCCAGCCTGGACAACTTAGTAGACCTTCTTTCAAAATGAACAAAAAGGGTGAGGATATAATCCAGTGGTAAAGTATTTCTCTACCAGGTTCAAGACCCTGAGTTCAATCCCTGATACTGCAAATAAGAAAGAAAAAAAAAAAAAAAACACTGACAGGAAACTTTATAAAAAATGAGTAAGGCTGACCTGAAATCATTGCTGAGTTTTGCTATCAGAAAAGATAAAATATTATGCAGTGATTCCTGTCAAAAATACATACCACTTGTATAAAGTATTTGGGGGGGGATCAAACCCAAACTGTTCTAGAAGTTACATTAAAACTGAATTCCAGCAGGGTGAAAAAAGAGAGCAGCATGGAGATTTAGAATTTAAGAGATGTACAAGAAATCAAGTTGGACATGTTAGCACATGTAATCCCAGTACTTGGGAGGCCAAGGCAGGAAGATCACTAAGAGTTCAAGGTCCCCCTGTGCAATATAAGGAGTCCAAGGCCAAGTTTGAATTATACAATGACACACTGTCTCAAAAAAACCATAATAAAAAGCTGGACACGGTGTTGCATAACTGTAATTCCAGAATTTGGGAAGCTGAGGCAGAAGGATCAGTATGAATCTGAGGCCAACCTAGGCTACATAATGAGTAGTTCAAGGCCAGCCTGAACTACATAGCAAGAATCTGTCTCAAAACCTCCCAAAAACAAAAAAAAAACAAATCCCGGGGAGACAGACAGAGAGAAAGAGAGAGAGAGAGAGAGAGAGAGAGAGAGACAGACAGACAGACAGACAGACAGACAGAGACACTTATAAGAAATATAAATCTGCAATGCAGATCTCAAATGGATCTCAATTTAAACTGGGAAAAATTTATATTGTACTAATTAAAGCTCTAATAATACAGTATTTAAAAATAATTTGGCTTTAACAATGGAATGAGTTATGATTTTTAAAGGCCCTCATCTTTTACAGATAGGAACGGAGATGTTTATGAATGGAATATATTATGAGATTTTCTTTAAGACAAGAGATAGAGTACATACAAAGACTGTCCCTGAGCTGATCGCTGTTGAAGGTGATGATGGGTGTGATGGTTTTATTATGTAATTCTTTCTACTTCCACAGATCTATCTATTTGAGATGTTCCAAAATAAAATTTTAAAATGTTTAAAAATTTTTATTCAGTATTATTGTCTGGAAAAAATAAAAATTCTAGCAAAACTATCTAACTTAATAGATCTAACACAGAAGAAACTGAAAAATAACTTACCACTCAGACTTTAAAGTGTAATTTGTTTCCAAGTGTGTTTCCCTCCCAGGATCCCACTGACACAGCATCTTTTTCCCTTCCTTCACAACGCAATTCAAATTTTTAGGTTTTTCTGGAGGAACTAAAAGAAAAGAGTTAGCTATTTTCAAAAACATCTATATTCACAAATATTACCCAACTTATATACCACCTAAAACATATCTAAATTAGATAGAAAAAGACAAATCCCAAACAAAACTATATCCAATGAAAGACTGGTGGCTAAAAAGTTAATTTCTATTCAAGACTCCTAAACTTTTCAGGCAGTAATTATATATTTTCTATCATAACCGTTTAGTTTGTTTCACATAAATTTTCTACATAAAAGTCAGCTTTCATTCATAATTGGATAAAAGTAACAACTTCTAAGTATATTTTAAAACCTAATATTTACATATGTTACTAAAAGGCGATTAAATAGACACAAAATAATTCATTTATATGTTGCTTTCCCAAACTACTTTTTTTTTTTTTTTTGAGTTAAGAGTCTTCTATGCAGTTCAGGTTGACATTAAACTCATTATGTAGCTAGCTTGGCTGGCCCTGAATGCAGTACGATCGTCCTGCCTCAGCCTCCTAAATAGTGGGTTTAAAGGTCCAAACTCTTTTGGAAGAAAAGCCAATGCTGAAATCATAAAAGTTTGGGTGATGCACAAATTTGGTAACACAGTAGAATTATAGTTTACATTCTTTACTCTGACCTTTAACAACTTCCTTTAGTACAACTTCATCTTCTCCAGGTAGTTAATTTATGTGTGTATTTTCCTAGCAATTAAGGGGTACGAAATATATGAGTATATTCACAGATTTTAAATCAGTGTCTTTGGGGGGATCTGTGTCACAATACTTTTCTAGAAAACTGACAAATGCTTAACTTTGAGGAAAGATATAAAAATTGTGTTATTCTTTAGGATTTCTGTACACTAATAATGCAAATGTAGGTCCTTCCTCTAAGTTTATTTTTAAAAATGTAAGTCTAAATGTCACTGAGCCCACCAATTACTGCATTTCATATAGGCTAGTAGATATCACTAGAAATATAACAGTCATGACAAAGCCTGAAGTAAGATAAGAACCAAAACTTACAGCCTGTTTGGATTCTGACTCCATAGACATTCATCTCAATCTGTCCATATGCAAGAATATTGCATATAAGCTGAACATTTAATAAACCTGTATTTGTAAAGGTGACACTGGATGTTGTTGCATTGATGACAGTGTACTGTTCTTCAGGAATAAGAACACGGTTTACTTTCCAGATAATGTGAGAAGCATTTACTTCATAAACACTCATACATTTTTCCTTCAACACACAAAATGCTGTGAAATTAGAACCACTCTGTATAACTGGAGATTCAGGGCTGATAACACCACATGTATCCACAAGTTCACCTGCAAAGAACAACATTTTTGAAAACATGAAAACAGACTGAGTTAGTATGTACTATAACCCACTGGTAGTCCAGCACCCAGTGAGACCGAGTTTGAACCCCAGCACTACCCTGCAAAAAAAAGGACTGAATTATTGAATAATAATAAATTATTATTATTATTATTATATTATATATTATATTATATTATTGAGACAGACTCTTGCTTTGTAACTTGGGCTGGCCTTGAACTTATTATGTAGCTGGCCTCAAAATGAGGCAATCCTCCTGCTTCAGCCTCCTGAATGTTGAGATTACAGTCATGTGCCACCACACCCAGTCTCTTTTTTGTTTCTTGTCTGGTCTTGAGATGAAGGTAATACTGGCTCCACCCCACAGGTATTTCAAAGTAAATATTTCTAACACTATATGCATTACGTTCTCTTTTTAAACATATTCTTATTTCTCTACCTCTGCTAACAGCACCACTCTCATTCGGTTACACAGACCAAATACCAAGTTAATGACAGTACACTCACTGGAGCCCACATATCACATTTCCATGATCCAAGGCTACAAACTTCTGACTTCTCCTCTACCATTCCCACTCACCCTCAACTTCTGAAAAGTTGAAACCGTGAGCAGCCCAGGATAAACAGTATGTCCCCCACTAGCTGGAAACTCAGCATTTGCTGGTGCCTCAGTAGACTGAACGATTTTTGCATTACACCTTACAGAAGTATCATCTATTCTAGATTCTATATTCTTAGTATTTTTATCAACCTCTTGTCTCTAGTACTACTTGGAATGCAGAAGCTCAGGCCATCACACATTCTTAGCTGGATTTCCATCCATCCAGTTTGCCCTATACAACTATTACCATAGTTATGGTTCTAAATGATTATGCCATTTACTATTTAGTAGTTACATATTATTTATCTGTGGGAGACAACACCAGTGACTCCCTTTAAATCCAGAACAATTGCTGACTTTGATTACCATCACACATTCTTAGCTGGACTTCCATCCATCCAGTTTGCCCTATACAACTATTACCATAGTTATGGTTCTAAATGATTATGCCATTTACTATTTAGTAGTTACATATTATTATCTGTGGGAGACAACACCAGTGACTCCCTTTAAATTCAGAACAACTGCTGACTTTGATTACTTGGAGACTCATTTCCTTATACTGATATGTAAAAGGCTGGCTAGGGTATTTCCTTCTCTCTTTAATTGGCTCTGAACATTACAAATAAGGCTAGCGGAGGTGCTAACGTGTAAAGTCTATAGCCATCAGACAGTCCTGTTTCCTCGCATAGTGTTCTCTACAATACAGGACTGAACAAAACGAATAGCCCCCAAAACAATTCCACTGCCACCTTAATTGGGTTATGTAAACTGATTCTTCTGCATATCTTTATCTCTACAAAATATCAGAGATGCCATTCTTACACCTGGCCAGCCAGCTCAAGTTACTCAGTAATTCCCAACATCTTCACTATCACTCATCCCTGAGCCACCCCCGTTTCTTCACAAGATAATAAATGCTTGGAAAGGCCTAAGATACAGGCCTTTGTCTACACATCCTGACAAAGGTTGGACTCAGGACCCCTTGGCTGCCCTTAACTTGGAATATGTCTTGGTGTTTTTATTCTTGCTATGGGTTACATTGGTGGTGGTAGATTAAAATTAACTTGCTAGGATTCCAATGATGTCTCAATGAGATTATAAATACAATCTTTTGGATTGTGAGGAAAACTATAAAGAAGATTACAATACGTGGGTGACTAAACTAGATATTTGGGTTTACAATAATTATCAAAAAGTCCCAACTATTTGGCATGATTTTATTCTCTTTCTCTAGTCTGAGTCCACATAGTTAAGCTAGATTTCCCCAAACAATGCTGCTGGCCAATCAGTTCTTGAGTATTATCCACTTTGTTGGTTTCAGTTTTCTTGTATGGAAAATAAACTTGAAATTGGCTATATTGATCTTTTTGAGATTAAAAGGTAGTTGTGTAAAAAACATTGTAAATGCCTAGTACCCAGCAGACCTCTAATAAATGGTAGTCACACTGATAGGCTCTAGAAGGTTCTATTAGAGGTGTTATGGCTTATATCTGGATGTTACCCCCAAGGTCTCATGCACTCATAGGTGACGCTTTTGCTAAGTGTCTGGTCTATGACTGTGTGTTAACTGGATCATGGTGGTGACACTGGATTAGTCCACTGATTGGTATAGCATAGTTCTGGGTGTGGATGACAGATTTATGAAGAATGAAGACCTACCTACTTTGGATAGAATAAAAAATGACAGAAGGAAGACTCATTGCTTCTTGCCTGCCCTGTCATGGACTGTTTTTCCTGTGCCATGTCCTTTTGCCATGCTACCCTGCCTTGGAGACAGCCGACTATGGACTAAAACCTCTACAAACTGTGAGCTAAAATAAATCTTTCCTCCTTTAACTTGTGGGTAATGGACTTTTTGTCCCAGCAATGAGAAAAGTAACTAAGACAAGGGATGAATGGCTCTTGCAATTAATAGTAAAGGTATCACGGCTTATGGAACTGAAAAAAACCTGGGAAATCATTTATTTCAACCTTTCATATTACTGACAACGAAAGCTGGACAACATTAGAGTCAACTTCAGTTATGAGCTAAACTCAATTCTCAATTTGGTCTCAAGCTAGACACACAAAGAATAAAGCTACCTTGAAAAATTAAATAATTACTGTATTTTCCTATTGTGATCTTTCAAAGTCAGCCAGAAGGAGGAAAAGCAGACTTTGAGATTAATGTTGTTCAGCACTGTCAAACGAAATCCTGGGACCTGTTACACATCTTATTAAGATCAGAGTTGGAATGTGTTTTTCTTTGTTTCAAAATATAAAATGTGCTCTATTATACCACCTTGCCATTATTTATACATGTCTACTTTAAATCCTATTACTTTGGACTTCTGAGTATGGAGCTTTATCTGGTGGAGGGTCTCTAAAGCACCCTGAGACACGACAACAATCACACAATTCCCAGACTTTGCTTTACTTCTTGACAAAATCATTTCTGCTTCACTTTTTCTAAAGTAAACAATTTAAAATATAATCAGAGACTCATACTATTAATTTTTAATCACACAGAGTAAGAGAAATACTAGAAGTGGGTAAATATTCCAGTTTTCAAAGTGAAATGGGATCATTAAGTATCCCAGGCCAAAGTATTCCCATTTTAGGGTTACCTAGATGATCAAGTTTCACAAAATCTTTTAATTATTTAATAAATTTATTTTGAATATTCATGTGGACAAAAGTGTAGATTAGGATACACTATAATGAACATTATGAAATTGCTATAGTGAAATGGCTATATTGTTATATGAAATGGCTATTTTTCATATTATAATTTTTTATTATATATTTTTCACATTATAAATGTATTTATAATAAAAAATGATCTAAAAAGTCAATGAAAGAGCAGTTTTTAGTAGAATATATTGATGTGCCTGCTCTCACTCCTTGAAGTAGACTGCATTCTTCAAAGAAAGTCACACCCATATGTTTACCCGATCCCACATTTTTCCTACAGTATCAGTGACATTCCTTCCACAAAAACATAGGAGTATACTGCTCCTGTCTTAGATTTGTGTGAATGCTTATATCTGCCCTTTCCAATGCAGGGTGTTATACAGTTTCCAAAATTAGATTATTGAAAGACTACAGCCTCTGACTAGCTCTCTGGTTCTGTTGAGTATTCGTTTTTGGAATGCAGCCATATATTATAGAGAACCCAAGGCTACCTGAAGAGGTCACATATGGTACTCTGGCCAAAGGCTCCCACAAAGCCCTGAGCATTCAGTCAATATCAATATCAGACATACAAATACATGGAAACACAGAAGAGTTCAGCTCTTCGCCTGTTTTCACTCATATAACCCATGAAATAATTACTACCATTTTAAACCGTGAAGTTTTAGAGTATACATAACTCTAACACAGTCCTGTTATTTTCAACATTCTAATCAACAACTTGGCAGAAGACAGAGATGTACACTTATCAATTTAGTAGAAGACAAGACTATTAAAGATTACAACACTGGATGAAAACGGTAAGATTTAAAATCTAATGGTAAGAATAAAAATCTAACGTAAATAAAGTGAAATTTATGACAGAAGAAACACCTCTTATTTAGGTTGACATATAGTTAGAACTGGCTCAAAACAATGGAAATAACTTGAGAATTTTCACTAACCATTAGGCTTAATGTAAAACTGCCATATCTGTTTCTCTCTTTCTTTCTTTTTTTTTTTTTGGTCTTTTTGAAATAGGGTTTCACTATGCAGTTTAGGCTGGCCTTGATGTCCCTTTGTAGCTCAGGCTGGCCTTGAATGGGCAGTGATCTTTCTGCCTCAGTTCTGGAGTGCTGAGATTACAGGTATGTACCACCACGCCCAGTGAAATTGTTATATCCTAAATACCAGGAAGCTTGTTACTTTATAAAAATGATGCTCAGATTAAAGTAACAGAGCTATTTTACTCTTTCCAGTTCTTGTATATTTATCTTTTTTGTAAAGTATATTTTATTCAATAATCCTAGTAACAATATTTTAATAATCAGTAACAATTTTATTCAATAACCTTAAGAATTACACTTTTTTATAATGCTTACTGTGAGCTAGGTTCTGTTGTTACTAATTCGCTTAATCTTCACAATGACCACAAGAAGAAAGAATTCTCATCCCCCCTTTATAGCTAAGAAAACTGAGGCACAATTTACATCACTAGCCAAACTACAACACCTATTAAAAGAAAGAGCTGGGATTGTATCATATTTTAAATGTGATATACAGGGAACCAAGAAAAGCATCAGAAAGGCAATCAGGGTTCAATCACTAGAATCTAACTGGAAGGATGGATGGATGGTTGGCAGGCAGGCAGGCAGGCAATCAGAATGCAGACATTAGAAGTCAAAGGCTATAAAAAATGATTAGTTAGAATAACTAAGTTTAGTTTCGGTAGAAGGGTCTACAAAATAGGAAAATAGTCCTTCCATACTTGAAAAGCTGAACAGTGAGAAGAGAAAACAGGCCTACTCTGGAACTAAATGGGTTGGAGTGTGGTGGTGCACACCTGTAAGGTGAGCACTTAGGAAGCTGAGGCAAAAGCACTGCTGTAAGTTTGAATTCAGCCTGGGCTATAATGAGACCTTGTCTAAAAACAAAACAAAAAAAACCTGTAAGATGAAAACTTGGGTTACTAAAAAGATAGCTAGGTATGGTAGGCTACGTCTATAATGCCAGCATCTTGGGTGACAAAGGTAGAAGGATCCCAAGTTTGAACCCAGCCTGAGTAATATGGTGATTTAGCTAGACCTAGTCACAAATCTAAAAAAGGGCCATGAATGTAGCTCAGAGTGAAGGCATGATTTCAATCTCCATAATTAAAAAAACAAAGTAAGGAAGGTTGTCTAGTGGTATAGTTCAGTAGCAAAGTGCTTGCCTGACAATACCCATGAGTCCCTTGGCTCAGTACTGAGCATCCTCCCCACAAAAAAAAAAAAAAAAAAAAATTCTAAATAATATAGTATTTCAATATAAACACTTAGTTCCAGGCATGGTGGCACACACCTATAGTCCCAGCACTTGGGAGGCTGAAGCAGAAGGATTGACACAGTAAGTTCAAGGCCAGCTTATACTATATAGTGAGAACCTGTCTCAAAAAACAAAACAAAAACCCAATAATACAAACAAACAAACAGACTGTCTCTTAAAGCATGAAAAAAGAAATCACATTTTATGCAGTGGGGCTGATTTAAAGCAGTGTTTTTCAAACTGTGATGGAAGCTCAGGATTAGATCAGAGTTATTGAAGATCCCTTGAATTTGTCACAGATTTATACTTTTTTGTTTGCTAAATCCACTGATCATATGTTTGGCTATCATGATCTCAAATTGTTGAGAATTTCTAAATATGTATTTGTAACTTCTGCACTGATCTCACTGTGAGCCTGAGACGACTAGATGGGCATCTACAAGTTGGCACAGTATTGCTTTAGTTATCTCTTCATTCTATTAACACAACCATACTGCTAAGGGATACTTTTTTAGAAACTAGTAGAAAAATATTAAGAGCTAACAGATTTTCCTTATTCTTTTATTTAAAAAAACTTTTTTCCCTTTCCCCATCTTAATGCTACTATAGTATAATTAAACAGAATTTAGTTACTGAATGACTCAGAAGTCAAAGTATATTTAAAAATTAAGCTTATTTTTATTTATTTATTAAAATAATTTTAAGTCATATTTATTCTCTGAGTTAGGACACTAGGAAAAATGAGCATAACTATATTAAACATAGCTTAATATGTAAGTCTACAAAATTCTATGAATTCATTTGTGGAGTTGCAAAGTATTCAGTGAGCCTTACCTATACATTCAGTGATGAGGAAAACAACCAAAACTTGCACAAGCCAGACCTTCAGCATCATCTTGGAAGTATATTTCTGCAACAGATATGCATAATATTATTTTTAATATTTTTCTCTTACACATAACCAAAAACAATCTTGTGTTTTCTAAAAGGTGGCAAAATTCTTACAAGAATGCAACAATTGAGTTTTCAGAATATCTTGTAATTTCCACTAAATTTTTGGCCATATGAATCTTATAGGAAACAAATTTTGTACTTTAAACTTCATTAAAAAAATCTTTCTGGGCTGGGGATTTAACTCAGCAGCACAAATGCCTGCCTTGCAAGCAGGCAGTCGTGAGTTCAATCTCCGGTACCGATAAAAAAAGAAAAAGACGAAAAAAAAAATCTTTCTATACATTAATAAATAACTGAGATTGAGAGCTTCAGACAGACAAATTTCTGCCTGGCAACATCTGCTGAAAATATCAGAATACACTTGACCAGAAAAAAAAAAAAAAAAAACACTTGGCGAATACATTTGTAACTCACTGCATTACCAAAAATATGCCCTAATATATGAAGAATGCCTACAACTTACTAAAAGCTTATAACACCTAATAGAAAACATGGGGAAAAGATTTTGAGTTTATTGACAAGGAAACACAAGTAATTAAAATATATAAAAAGATACTTCACTCAAAATGAGACATAAAGTTCACTGGAAAAAAGTCTCTTCGATACATGGTTCTGGAAAAACTGGCTTTCCACATGCCAACAACTAAAACTAGACCCAGGTCTATCATCATGCACTGAACTGAAGTCAAAACAAATCAAAGATCTAAATGTTAAAACAAAAACACTAAATTTACTGGAAAATAGGTAGAAATCTTGAAGACATATGTATAGGCAAAGACCTCATGAACAAAACTCAGACTGCAAGGTGAATACTCTTAAAGAATCAATAAATGGGATCTTAGCTTATTAAAAAGTTTTTGCATAACAAAAGAAATCACCAACATTATGAAAAGATAACCCACAGAGTGAGAAAAAATTATAGCCAGTTGTACCTCAGGCAAAGGACTTTATCTAGAACATACAAAAAACTGGAAAAAAATCAGACTCCTCAAATTTAAAGACCCAATCCAAAAATGGGCATCCAACATACTTCTCAGATGAAGAATAGAACCTTGTCATGGTTGATACATTTTGTGTCAACTTGAGAAATTTAGAAGTTTACCTAAGCAACTCAGAAGGGAGCCAGGGTCTTTACTTTGTAAACATCCTCCCCCTGCAGAGGGCATGGAAATATTGTGATTGCTGCACTAGCCCTGGGGTGGGGTATGTGGCAGCCTCCTTGCAATACGAGAAGAGGAATGTTCCCTTGCTACTTTTTCTTGTTACTTTGCTATCTTATGCCCTTTAACTATTGCCACCCTGCCATATGGGCAGCTGATTATGAACTAAAAACCTCCACAAACCGTGAGCTAAATAAAACTTTTCTTCCTTAATTTTGGGTGTCTGGTATTTTGTCTCAGCAAGGAGAGAAAAGTAACCAAAGACAAATGGCTAATAAATACATGAAAAAATGTTCAACATCACTGGTCATTTGAGAGACGCAAATTAAAACAACACTGAGATTCTGTCTCATTCCAGAATGGCTTTTATCAAAAATATCAACCAATAAACTGGGCTTGGTGGCACAAGTCTGTAATCCCAGCATTCAGGAGGCTAAGGTGAAGGACTGTTGTGAGTTGGAGACCAGCCTGGGCTACAAAGTGAGTTTAAGGCCAGCCTGAACTGCATAATGAAATGCTGTCTCAAAAAGCCAGACACACCAAGCTATGTATTATGTATTTTATTTTACAAGAAATCTTAGAAATGGCAAAGCTAAAGGGACAGAAAGGAGATTACAGGTTTCCTAGAGCTGAAACAGACAAAAAACCCAAAAGAACTTTTTAATGTGATGGAAATACTCTGACCTGATTGTGGTGATATTGTAAACTTTACACATTTGTTAATATTCACTGAATTGTGTCAAGAACAGCAAAGGCAGCTGGGGGGAGGACCTGAGAGGCTGCGGCGGGGAGGACTGCCATGGGCTAGAGGTCAGCTTGGCCTATACTGTGAATTCAGTGCTGGCCTGAACTCTAGATCAAGACTATCTCAAAAAATCAAAACAAAAAAACAACATAACACAACAACAAAAAGAATTGCAAAGATCTGAGATTTTATCCTATTAGCTAATAAATTAACATGCCACTTTTCATGGTTACTGGCAAAAGATAAAACTTGTGAGTAAAGAAACAAGACTATTACTCTTAACAGGAGCAGCAAAGTACCAGCACTTTCTTGTGCTGACTGTATTCTGTTAAGTGATGAGTTTAAGCAACCTGCATCATAAAAAGGAGCAGGAAGGATTTTCACCCTTTACTTTGGAGGAAGGCATTATCTTGATCTTTGGAGGCTACAGGCAAACCTGTTCTTTTTATTTGCGGAGGTAACATTTCTACCTTCCAATACCACTGAGAGGAGTTTAGGGAAAACTGCAGGATTTGGTCACGAGACATACAGAGCTGCAAGAGACCCATGGGTTTCCCATCAGACTGAACATGAACAATAAGTAAATTTATGTATTTATGTTAGACCTCAATTATAATGGAACAAAAACTGCGCAGCCAAAAGAAATTAGTGTTTAACTTTTTCAAAAGTCATATACAATAATGTATGCTACAAACTAGACATGTAGTCAACAGTACAGCGCATGATTAGCATGCATGTAGGCCCCAATTCAGCACAAAAAACTAAAAAGTGGAAAAGGAAAACAGCCAAATATCCATAAATACTAGAAAAAAATGGCATACTCAAGTAACTGAGTCAGAGCAATGAATAAGAACTTACAAGTACATGAAACATGAATGAACCTCCCATAATGTAACAGAAGAAACCAGACACACTGAAGTATACTCTACATGATTTCCTTCATGCGAAATTCATTAAATAAGCAAAATTACCTTTGGTGATAAAAGTTACAATAGCAAGATTTTTTTGTTTTTGTTTTTTGTTTGTTTGTTTGTTAGAGAGAAGAGGACAGAGGGAGTATATTCTAGGCCCTGGGCATGTTCTATAACTTGACCTGGACAATGTTAAAAACTCACTGAGCCATAAACACTGAGAGGTTCTGATTTTAAGTATGTAAGATATATTTAATAAGAAAGTGAACAAAAACAAATCAAAACTAGTCCAATATACAATACTGAACAAAACAAATCAAATCAAAAACAAAAACAAATCAAAACTAGTCCAATATACAAAAATACAAAACTCAGAAAAAGTTATCAATACTGTTGTGAGACTAAGCAAATAAAGACACCATTACACATTCACAGATTACATTGTATATTTAACAGGCTTCCTAGCAAATTGTACACTCAAAACTACACTCAAAATCAGACCTCCTTTTAAAAGGAAAACAAATATACCTACCCAAAGTGTGTAGTCAGAGAAGGTATACTGCAATATCAGTAAAAACTAAAATACATACATTTGAACTTCGTGGTTCTACTTCTAGCTGTTTTATCCTAATAGTTATGAACAAAATAACACATATACAAAGTTTTTCACTGCAGCATTGTTTGCAATAGTAAAAAACTGTAATAATCTACAAGTTCCTAATAGTGTGTTACTGTTGGTAAAAATTATAGCATACCCAAACATAGCATACACATAGCAAGAAAACAAAAACCAAAAAAAAGAAAAGACAACAATAAATGAAGGATGGGTTACTCTACCATATACTCAATTATCCCCGTTCAGTGGGGTACCAATGTGACTTTAGTATTTATGCCAAAAAATACATACATTTTAAATTTTAAAAAGTTAACATGGCCAGGTACAGTGGTATGCATTTGTATCCTACCTACTTGGGAGGCTGAGGCAGGAGGATCAGAAGTTCAGAGCCAACCTGGGCACCATAGCAAGGTCTCTTATCAAAGTAAACATTTAGGAAAGGTGGAGGAGATGTGTAGACCACATGTGGCATGACTGATAAACCCTGGATTCAATACTCAGTAGCACACAAAAAGGAACAAACAAGAGAAAAAACTTTTGTAAACTTTTTCCTTAAATAAAACTTCTAGATTGGTGCTTCATTAAATACATATCCTAACTTGACTTTATATACTTCCTAATCTATAGCAGTCATCCTGTATAAAATTATTTGATAATGAGCATTAAGACTGTCTTGGGAATAGATCTATAAAAGACCTAAACCACAGGAATCATTTTCCTCTACCTGTTTCATTCCTTACACCCCAACTTTACCTTCATATGAGGAGTCAAGATGTAGCTCAATGGAAGAGCACTGGCCAACATGAATGTGCATATGCGCGAGGTCCTGGATTTGACTGCCAGCAAGGTAGAAACACAAAACATATACAGCATTGGAATAGCAAACAGCCCTACACTAGAAGAATCTACTGCTGTTTAACTGCTCATCAAAACAAAGAAAATACAGTGTCTGAGAACACGGGTATAATATGTCATGCTTTCCTGAATATTCACCATGTATCTTCACAAGTCTCAGAGATTTCCAATTCCTTGGGATTGAAACTAAGTCCTTCACACTGCCATGTATCTTCAGCCCTTTTTATTTTGAGACAGGCCTAAGTACCTAGGTTGTCCAGTCTGGATTTGCTCTTGTGATCTGCCTGCCTCAAATTCCCAAGGTGCTGGAATTACAGGCATGAGCCACCGTGCCTGGCTGCTGTGCTATTCTTATGACAAAACTCAAAAACAAAAAGTCCATGAAAATATTTATGATTACTTCAAAGCAGTCAGTTTTAAATGAACAGTGCCATGAGACATAAGTAAAACAGGCAAAGGGGCTTCACGTATTAATAGAAAGTAATGTTTCTGAGACTGTCATTAAGATGTGAGGAAAAAGCATCTATCTGAGGCATCTGATAGTTTAGTGCTGTTATGGTTTGAGTCTGGATGTCCCCCCAAAGCCACATGCAGTCATGGAGGTGGGCTTCTGGAGTCTGTGAACGACTCATGGTCCAATGCTGGGCTCATGGGAGTCGATGCTATTAA